CTCCCAGCTGGACAGAAATATTTACATCCATAGGAAGTCTCTGGTGTTTGTGAGGTGGGTGATGCTCAGAACTCCTTGGTTCCTGCCTCTCTGTGGTGTTCTTTGCTTGCTAAAGTAGAATTTTCGCCAAAAACCCAGTAAATAAATAGATCCACACTTCCAGGATGGTGACTCCACCACTGCCCCAGGCAGCCTGTTCCAGTTCTTTACAACCCTTTTTTCCTCCTTATATCTAATCTAATATTTTTCCTCATATCTCATCTAAATTATAAGGTCGGTACAATCCAGTTCTGATTTCTTTCTCCATCAGTGCCTGGGCACTGGGAAGAGGAAATTTTGTCTCTGTTTGTCTGTCAGAAAGTACTGGCTTTGAACAGCTCTCAATCTGTGCATGTTTTTATATCCAAGAGAGAAATCCTGTTCATTTGTCACCCTGAAGCGACGCCACTGGCTCGGTGAAGCTCCCTGAGAGTTAAACTTTGCTGTCACCCTGTGCCCACTTGGACTTCACGTGGTGCTCTTGGCAGTGTCCTCAGTGTGAATGCCATCCCTGGGATACCCTTGGCACACCGTCTCTCTTTCCATTCAGGATTCTCAAATGTGATCCTTCAGGTGTTTACGTGCACTTTTAAGGATGTACCTGGTTTGTAGTGTAGGCACCAGAGCCTTTGGCAATGTCAGGCTATGGGAGCTGTGGTTGCAGCTCTTGACCTGCAAGTGCTGCCGGGCTGTTCCAAGTGGAGAACTTAAAAACTGGGAGCTGAAAAGTAGTCCTCCCACTCACAACTCTGTCTTGCTCAGCATGGTCAGAAAAGAGGGGAAATATCATAAAAATTGAGAGGATAATGCAAAAACGCAGTCCTGCTGCCATCAAAACAGCCTTTTTCCTTCTTTTGGGATTTAGTTCTGTATGTTGTTTACATTTCTTATAAAAGCAAAGCTATTAGTTAGGGAATTGATCTTGCAGCATCTTGCTTTTTTTTTTTTCCTTTGTAAAAAACATGATTTCAGGTTTAGTATTTACCAGTGTTTAACACCACTGTTGGTGTATTTTTTAGGAACTGATTGATCATAGCTGTTCCTAACATTTTAGTAATGATATGAAAAAAGCCACTGATGTGACGACCCTGAATTCCAAACAAACAGTCACACAGCTCTGCATTGGGCTGAGAAAACAGACTATTGCCAATATGGGTCCTCAAATCAATTAGGGACAAAGCTCCGTGAAGATTAGCAGGTCCCTTAGTCAGGGGTGTGGAGGACTTAAAAACCTGTAACTCCTTCAGCAGAACCCGCCCTTGGAAAGGGCACAGTGCTGACAGCAGGGTGGGCATTTGTACATTACATCCTCTTTTCCCATGTTCAGAACTTGGGATGTACCTTGTGATGGGATGGAGGAAAGGTCAGTCCAAATGCACAGACCTCAGAAGCATGAAGAGACCTGAGAGATGCATGTCATGATGGCTAAAATACTTTACATCTTGGAAACACACAGACTATTGGGTTTTTTGAGTACCAGATTATTCCTCCCAGGTTGTTCCCGGTGAAAAGTGGGTAAACAGGAACACAGGGAGATACCTTCAGTAGGGAATCCCACTATAAGGCACCTCTGTTGAAATCTTCCAAGAATGAGAAGGAGAATATCCACAGTGCCACCTTTGCTTTGGTCACCCCAGCCCTTGGCAAGGCAGCCTGGGGACAGCACACAATTCTCATTTCCCCTCTTGTCTCTGTGGATTGCTTTCCCTCTGTTTTGTGGGAATTCAGTTGCTTTCATCATAGTCTGGCTTGTGATAAGCAAGCCATGAGTGGCTTGAAATTCAGGTTATTCAGATAAGCACCCTGAGTTGTAACTATGGAAAGTTGAACACGTAGGTGTTTCAGCTTGATCTGCAGTGAAAACTAATCCAAATTTAGTCATAGACACAATCTTCCATAATCCAATAATATTCTAGAATTATAATATAATGACTTTATATTTCTGGAATACTTAAAAATAGTTTTATACATTTATTATTCTAGAATACTTTCATCTTTCTATAGCTATTCCCATGTAGAAAAATAAATGGCTATTTGTGTGCCTACAGCAGCATAGGCCGTTATTTTCTTGCTGTGTGTGTCCTTTACTACCATAGCAGTTCCACCGTAAAAGTTCAAATAGTTTGGAATTTTAAAACTTTCAAGTGCAGTTCAAGCACTTAGATCAGTGTCTGCTTTCCAGACTGCTCACCAGACAAAATAATTAAGGAATTTTTCTGCTGTAACTGTGGGCGAAGCTGTTTCCTGGCCTGGAGATGGAGGAGACACAGAAAGGCGACTGCGCCTCGCATCATTCTTGATTTTATCTGTGGGATGTGAAGGAATCTTTCAACGTGTAATCCTTAAAATATTGATCTTGCAGAGGAAGACTGAGGCTGGAAGGGATCGTCTGTCATCAGGTTTGCTGCTCATGTGGTGTTGTGGAGTTGCATTGCGGGTCTGAGGGTCTCGCCTCTGATTTCCCCCCACTTGCTTCAGGGAGTCTCAGGGTGGGGGTAGGTCCAGCTCAACTATACAAGTATTGTGGGATTTTTTATTTTTCATTGAATTATACTGCCTTTTAGCAATATCATTGCTTTATGGTCCTCTGGGATGTGCCAGCATGAGGGAAATAACATTGAAGGAAGAGCTGCTGGGCTCAGAGCTCCCCTTAAACCAAGTCCCTTCTTTTAAATCTTCAGATCAAGACTAATGAATAGCACTAACTCCAAGCTCGTTTTTATTATCTGGACTATTTTTTCTCCTTTGCAAGTGCCAATATTCTAACTTAAAACTGCATTTGGTGTATGAGAAAAAATCTGCAGCTGATTGTAGCCCATAAAATGAATATATTGAAGCTCCCAGAGTTTGAGTTTATTGAGGTATAAATACTAGAATGTGGCGTACTATATAGTTCAGCTGATTCCTTGTTCTATTTTTCTGAGTCTTTTTTCTAATTTTATTTCTCAGATACTCAATACAAATAGTTTCCTGGGTTTGATTTTGCCCTGGCATTTTTCATGCTGGTTCTCAACAATATGGAATTCAACAAGTTGAATAACATTTTCTGTTTACTGTTTACATTTTAAAAAGCAAAGTTTCTGTTTAAGAAAAAGGAGAAATTCCAGATGTCTCCGGGCAGTAGGAAATGTATGTAGTATACAGCCTAATAAAATGGCAAATATAGCAGAAGTATAAAAAAGTGGTTCATGTTAGCAAATGGTCTGAATTTAAAGACCAGTCAACACCAGGACTTCATTTTAGGCGAGGGAAATTCACATGTGAAGTATTAAAATATAACTTTATAAATACATTTCCTTAGGACTGGGATGTTGTGCATTTCCAAATCATCTTTAAAACTTCCCTTTTCATTTAATTTTGATTAGATTTTCTAAAATGGAATAAACATAAAAGCATTAAAAATATGTTAACCATGAAAGCTAAATGCAAAGCAGATATATCCACAGCAAAGATATGAAAGCCAGACCCCCTGTTCCTCAAGTGCAATATGGGAGGGAAACCCCTTCATTGCCGGCTCGTTTCCCCACAGGAGCACTTGCGGATTTGCCCCTCATTAAATGATTTCAGAACATGATGTAAAGGGCAATTAAATCAACAAGCGGCTTTAGTGTTGAAAGGGGGGTTCCTTTTAGATGTCTGTTGCAGGAGAGAGGTTTGGCTTTGGGAGGAGAATGTCTTTGGTGTTTGGGAGAATTCGGTACCAGCATTGCCCCTGCGTAAGATGGTGGGAGGCGGAGTTGCCATCCCTGTGGACTGTTGTGGAAAGGGCAGACAAATTCTAGGCCAAAACCTGCCAGGTGAATTTTTTTCAGAGAATGGACTAATTGACCCTTATTTTCAGTGACCTCTGTGCTGATTTTTAAGGTAAGGGTGTCAACATGCCAATCAACTGCTATTTGCAGCAGCTCGGCTTTGCTGAAAAGATGCAGAAACTGCTTATGTGGTACTTTTGGAAATTCAGTTTTATGGGTCTGTTTCAGACCTTCACCTGTTTACTTAAACTGTTCTTGGTCTTTGTCTGTCATTGTCCATCATTTTCAGAGAAAACATTACAGCAGTGTTCTCAAGTTGGTTTAATGCTCATTTCCCTCTTCATTTGAATGCAGTCTCCCAAAATTTGAAATATGGAATGATACCTGCTTAGCTTCAGAAAAGGTATCAACAGGAACTCACATCACTTTTTTGGGAGGTCATCAGAGAAGATGCTGTGAGAAATTCAGGTGAACACAACTAAGATCAAGGGACAACGTTCTTCCCCATCCTGACAGTGTTTAAGGCCAGGCTTGATGGAGCTTGGAGCAACCTGGTCTAGTGGAAGATGCCCCTGCCCATGCAGGGTGTTGGAATGAGATAAGCTTTTAAGGTCCCTTCCAACCCAAACCCTTCTGTGATTCTATGATTCCATGACAAGAGTCACAGAAAATGCAGCACAAAATTTTTAAATTTGCTTGTTAAGCTCTCTGTGCATTCCATGGTTGAAAATATAATGGTGATGGAGAGCGTGGCTCTTTTGCATTTATGTCAGTTGTATGTGGTTGTACCCTCAGGAGCTAATAGGATTAAAGGCCTGATGCAGAAGAAAATCTTCACACAGCAAATTTTTACTGAAGCCATATGTTTGACCAGTGGTACCTACAAGCTCAGATGTTATCTAACCCTAACTCGTTCCCTGTATTTTTCTCTTGGCCCCAAGGAAACAGCCGTGCCACAAATCACTCTACTTAACAAGGGCTTCAGAAGTAGAGACTACAGAGGCAGTGCCAGCGGGAACTTGGGAAAAAATACCATAAAATTCTGATTTTCTTTGCCCTGTTTACGGCGCCGAAGCGAAGTAAACAACAGCCCAGGCCGAGTGCAGGGGCTGCGTTATGTGTGAGCCGCGCGCTGCCCAGGAGAACCGGGGTGTGCCCGTGTTGGGGCTCCCTTGTAAGCCTTCCTCACCATCTCCCTTCCTTCTCCAGACGTGGATGAGTGTGCTGTGGTGAACGGTGGCTGCCAACAGGGCTGTGTCAACACTCCCGGCTCCTTCCACTGCCAGTGCCGGGCGGGATTCCGGCTCCACGCCGACGGACGCACTTGCATCGGTAAGGAGACGTTAACAAACACTTCACCTACTTCCAAGGTGTTGTTTTTCTCTGCTGAACCTGTCTGTGTCTAAGTGCAAAGGTTTGTAGACTTCCCCGGTCTTAGTTTTTACTAATTCACGAAAGATGTCATTATCCATCCCACTTCAAGCAGCCTGTGGGAGTTCAGGTATTGCCAAATTTACTGCTTTTTTGTTTGATTTTTTTGTGAACAAAAAGCAGTGATGCTGTCCCATGTTTGTGAAAATTCCTTCTGTTTTGCATTAGAGAAATACAGTGTTTTCATGTCAAATGATGGCATTTTTTGAATTCTGAGCATTTTTTTTCTTTGTGGCACATCTTCCTGTCCTGGGACTCAGTGGTTTTAAAGGTCTTTTCCAACCTAAATGATTCTGTGATTTACAGTGTGGAGTTACCCTGTGTGTGCTCATGTCAGTGACAGCACCACAGGGCTCAGCAGCTCAGCCCGTGACACGCTGCCCATTTAAGTGGAGAGGATTAGCAGCTCTGCCATTAGAAATAAACCATGTGTTTCTTAGGTTGGGCTTTCTGAGCCCTGAAACAAGACATAACAGAGTAAATTCTGCATGTTGCTAAAAATAATAATATAAAATATACGGTCCTTGTATTGCATTTAAATCAGTACAGAAGTCAAGTTGTTGAATTCTGAAAAAAAAGATTAAAATGTTCTTTTGTCTGAGAAGAGGAAAAGGGCATCATTTCTTTAAATTTTTAACCCTGATTTGAGGTAATGTGAGAAGAACATCAAGTGTGGTCAGACCACATCTGCAGAATAAGTTTACTCACACTTTGATCATTGTCTCAGTTCTTGCTCAAAGTCCCTTGGTTGTGCTTAACATCAGCCAAGGGTGTCATCACTCATTCCTGGTATTATCACAGCAAGACATTCACTGATGCAACTAGAACACAAGAGGTACCCGTGCTCAAGCTGTGGGAATAATGGTTTGGGTTTTTGTTTTAGTTAAAAATATACTCTTTTGTTGGGTTTATCACATAGAGAGACTTTTCAGTGTTTTGGTAATTAACTGCAATTAAAAATATGGTAAAGTCTCAATCTTTTCTTGATTATCTTATTTAGTGAAAGAATGGGTAGGAAACACTATTGTTAGAGAAAAAATAATGTAAAAGCAGAGTGGTTCATATTTAACTAGAAACAATAGTGTTTTTCTGTGAATTAAAAGAGAATTTTTTTTCTCTGTGATCAGATCTGACCAGGGAAGACCCAGAAGTGAAAAATGTGAGGTTTGAGTTTCTCTGAATAGTCTCATTTTCAGCTGTGGTGGAGAGGGAATTTAACACAAAAAAAAGGACTAAAGTGACTTTGGGGAAAAAGAGGATGATAAACTGAATGATAAATGCAAAAAGTAGATATAATGGCAGTTGAATGACTTTGCCTTTGCAATATGTAAAACTTTCCGTGGACATAGAATAGCAAAGTTTTCTCAAGGTCCAAATAATCAAGAAACTCAGTTTGGAGTTGTCAGAGCTGGGAGCAGTATCAGAGAAAAAGTTTTCAGTTCACAAATGTAAGTATTCTCAAGAAGTTATTAAAAATACTTCATGCAGTGATCAGTTTTGTTTTCAATATCTCAGAAATTATCAAGGAGACACAAGAAATAAATCCTAAAATGAGAGTCAGGAGTGAGTTTCAGAAAGAGCTGCTATCATGATAATGGATTTTCACAACACTGACAGAGGATATTGAGTTCTGTTTCAGCTGCTTAGGCAAGACACCAAAATGAATGGATATAATAAGCTCTAATGCATTGGAGCACAAGACAGATACTAATTGATGAGAAACATTTCCTATAAACCAGTAATCCAAGAGTGCCTAGAACTGGGATTTGGGCAGAGGTGCTTGTTGGGGATGGAGAGTTTGTTTCTTCTGCTGCCCCAGGTTATGCATTCAGCTTTCACCACTCATCTGATCAAGAAGTAAACCCAGTAACACACCTCTCTTTTGACCTCATGCAGCTAAACAGAATATGTAGCATTTCAAATAGGGCTTGGATTAGCAACAGTATTTCTTCCATGGATGCTTTAGAGGCTGTAACGATCTCTCCCACATGCTGAGAATAAGAAGGGACTACATTCCAGCACTGTGCTGTTTATGGAAGGTGATTATCTCAGCTGCAGAAATAAGAAACAATCATCCCTTTAGACAGGCTTTTCAGATGAGCCCAGCCCAGATTGCTGTTGCGTTCATTCTTTCCACGTCTTCTTTTTCTTTTTTGGCAACCCTGTGTTTCTGAGAGCAAAAGTGCCAAAATCATTTGAGGGGAAGCAGATTTTGCAGCCTGGATGGCTTGGATGTCTCCCATACATAAGGAAGTGGATCTATCATCTTATAAGATATTCAGCCTACATGTGAAGACTCAAAAACTTGGGATAAGCTACTTTCTCATGGGATTCATGGAATATTAATGAACTTCTGTCACGAGCTCTTTCCAGTGAGTCTAGTCCTCCTGCCATGTCATCATAGTGTGTTTGGGATCCTGACCAGTTGCTGATGCTTCATCCCTCCATTACCAGTGTGATCCTCAAAGTACATGGATTGAGGAAATCTGTTTGTTGTTCTTCCTGCTCTCATTAGAAACTTCTGCTTGTACCCGAAGGCAAAGAACCTCCAAAATGCATTCCCTTGTTCAGTGAAAACCAGTTTGTGAATGTAAAATACTTCATTCTTGGATCCTTTGATAATATCTGATATTTTGTGCCATGCCAGAATCCCATCTTTTCCAATGATCCTTTTCTTTCTTTAGCTTTTTAGGTCCCACAAATTTTGCTCAATATCTAATTCATTTTTGGATATATGTGCCAGACCAAATATTCACTACAAATTAGGTAATTAGAATAAACAGAGGTAACACTGTCCAATTTTTTGTTTGTTTTGTTTGTAATGCCTTGATTATGTTATTGTAATGAATTTGGCTTCACTGGAGTTTAACTAACTGCTATCTGGAAAAGCTAAAGCTCAGAAAGAACATGTTTATTGTGGTATCAGGCTGTGGTTTTGGATTGTTGTAGAGTCATTGTCTTCACTGGAATTCATTCCTGTTTGAACTCCTAGAAGTGAAAGCAAAGCACGGCTGTTAGACCCTGATTCATCTCTTGTGCCAGCTGTTATCTTTGATGTCTGCTTTATGTTGAGATGCAGGTTTTTATGGAGATTTTAGCACACTAAGGCTCTTAATAGAGGAAGTAACAAAGAAAATATCTCTACAACTCTATAATCTGTGTTTTCCCCCATAAATAAAAGCACTGTATTTCTGAAGTTACAATTCTTACATTGCTAAGCTTGGATTTAAGGTGATGGAAAACATAGTCTTGAAGAGATTTCATGTTCTGACCCCTTGGTTGCTATACATGCATCTAACTATGGCTTCAGACTCAGCTCTTTGTCAAAATACGACCATTATAAAAAACTAATGGGTTGAGAAATGTGTATTTCTCAACTATCAGGAGATCAGGCCTATGAAAAAGCTGGAGAGGGACTTTTTACAAGGACATGTAGTGACAGGACAAGGAGAAATGGCTTCAAACTGACAGAGGGCAGGGTTACATTAGATATTAGGAAGAAATTCTTGGCTGTGAGGGTGGTGAGGCACAGGTTGCCCAGAGAGGCAGTGCCTGCCCCATCCCTGGAAATGTTCAGGACTAGTTTGGACAGAGCTTGGAGCAACCTGATCTAGTGGGTGTTCCTGTCCTGGGCAGAGAGTTGGAACAAGGTGATTGTTAAGGTCCCTTCCAACCCAAACCTTTCCATGATTCTATGATCCTTGTCTTTCCTGCATGATGCCTCCCACCTCTGTCCCCCTCCCAGCAATGCTGCCTCCCTCTCTTGGCATTCCCAGACATGGCAAAGAGCCATGGCCGTGCCTGTGCCACCGTTCCTGTTGGCACTTCACAGAGGTGCTGGTTTTCCACCAAACTTCAGGAGTAATTCCTTTAAAGCAGAGGGCATTCCGTATTTTTTCCTGGACCCTGTGGAGGTGCTCAGACCTCCAGCCACAAACCCCTTTATGACATGTGGAATTAGACTCATGTCGTGCCGAGTCTCTCCCTCTTTCTGATCAGACAGCGCTTGGCAGCATGAGCACAATCCATCCTGTTCTGTCCCCAGAGGCTCTTCTACTTCAGTCTGGCACCTCCTCTCATGTATCCAGCGTGATGCCTCTGCAGCAGCCGTGATAAACCTGCCTTGGCTGCTCCAGAGGAACCTCTGGCTCCCCGGCCACTGGCAGAGCCCACTCCGGACTGGGATGAACAGCCTTGCCAGCACAAGCTCTTGGCACAGGACTCCACCACACCTGTGCCCTTCTGCCTTTGAAGCCTCCAAAATTCTCATCACGACAGGTTGCTGCTCATCTCCTCTTGCATCCAGATTGGCTTGTGCCCAGGAAAGGAGGGAGGAAAATGGCACTTTTAAAAACCGAGATGTATATTCTGTCACTTGGTTTTAAGATGCTTTTCATCTTCTGAAATATTTTCATCTTATTTGAATATTCTTGCTGAAAAACAGGCCTTTGGATACAAATGTGCAGGAAGCTGGAAGCTCAGAGTGTATGGGGTCTGCTGCCTCCTGTGTAGACATGGAACTGCTTTCAAGTTCCATCGCTAACAGGGCAGAAGGTTCATGGGCATAGATGGAGATCAGAAGCCAGGTCAGGTCCTTGTGCAGTGAGGTGCCTCCTGCCTCCTGCTGGGTGTGCATCCAGGAGAATGTAAAAATTTGCTTTTCTTTTCGTCTTTTATCACATACTTGACTGCACACACTCAGTATTTGCTAATTGGTGGCATAGGGTGAAACAAATCCTGCAGCAGGCTTTGTGTCTAACGTTTGCTAATGTCTATTACAGATAAATGAGTCCAGATAAATGAATTACAGATTAATATGAATATTTCTAAAATAAATATCAAAGCTCTTTGATGAATTTCATTGGGTTCAAAGTTTGGTGCCTTCCGTGAACGACCAAATAGTCTTTCCATTTGCTCACGGAGAACATGGAATTGTAGAGAACACAGAATCACAGAATGGTTTGGGTTGGAAGGGACCTTAAAGATCATCTCATTCTACCCCCCTGGGCAGGGACACCTTCCACTATCCCAGGTTGCTCCAAACCCCATCCAACCCGGCCTCAGACACTTTCAGGGATGGGGCATCCACAACTTCTCTGGGTAACCTGTGTCAGCACCTCACCACCCTCAGGGTCAAGAATTTCTTCCTAATATCTAGTTTAAATCTCTACATTCTACATCCCTGCTGTTAAAATATATGTAAATGCAGCCATGCACACAGTCTCACTTCCATCCATACAGCACAATAGCAGCTTCAAACCATCACTCTTATTTTTACATGCAGTGTGTGAATAGGTGTGGGTGTGTGTGAACATATTTTGGCAGGAGGAGAAATGTTTCTCCAGAGGCCGGGGATATGTGCTGAACAAAAAAGAATATTAATTTGCTTGGGTGAAAGAAGCAGTGTCTTTTGAGATGTACTGAAGACCCTCTGTTCCTGTGGTTTGCTTTGTAAATCTGTCCTGTGGAGCTTTTGGCTCCTGTCATTTGCATTTTCCTATGCGCAAGGCTGAGGAAATCAGCCTGAAAGACAATTTTTATTATTATTATTATTATTTTTAATCAATGAAAGCAAGGAGAGAAAAAAGCAATCATGGGCAAGTGCCAGCAGGGCTGCTCTTTTTCTCCCCTCCTTACCTCAGTGGATTCTCAGCGCTTTGGTGCTGTCAGATCAAAGGGTACTGTGCTTCAGTCAGCATTACAGCCCTTAGATCTCACCTGCCTCTCACTGGAATTAGGCTTTCACCGGTGTGGGACACTGTGTCAGACAAGCCCCGTGAACACAAGGGAGGGTAATCACTCAGGGGATGGGACAGGTGCCTTTATGAAAGCAGTTTGGAGAGGTTTGCCTGTTTTTACTGTCATTTATATATTTAAAATAGGAAATAAGTTTCTCGGGTTGTTGACGTGCATTCCTCCCTTGCTTCCTTGGCTCCAGCCCTCCATTCCTGCAGCGTTAACAACGGGGGCTGTGAGCAGGAGTGTGTTCAACTTGAGGACCACTACAAGTGCCAGTGCCAGCCAGGCTACCAACTGAGGAGGGATGCCAAATCCTGTGAAGGTAAGTCCTGCTCTCCCTGCCCAGAGACACACAGTAAAGGCAATTTAAAAGACCCCAGACTGGTGTTTTGGGTCACTGTATTCATTCCTATTTCCCTCTGCTCTCCGAAAGCAGCTTTAGGAATCACTTATTAACAGGGTTTTAAAATGACACATGTTTGAGGTGTGAAGTTCACATTGAATCACAACTTCAAACAAGATTTTGGCCTCGCAGACCCCTGGCTGCTCCTTGCACACTGACGATGATGAGACAGGTTAGAAACTTAATCGTGTTTTAACTCTAACATTTTATTACTCATCAAGTTGTATATAGAGTTGTCCTGCATAACATGTTTTATTCTACATGAAGTGTTTTCTTTATCTGCTTTTGGCTTATCACAGTCTGATTCATTCATCCTCCCCTTCACGTTTCTAAGCACTCTCACAAGCAGAACAGCAGTGCTACCTTTGGGTTTGATTGTTGCTTTTCTTTTCTCATATATCTCAAAATATTCATCAGTTTTTAAGGCAGCCCCCTCCCCATTCCCCAACACAAGCTCACACACTCATCCCCTTGAATATGCCAGAGAAAGATAGGGCCAAATTTATGGATTTATTGCACTAAAATCCCTGTCACAAAACCGTTTCCATATGGCTCCTCTTCTGCTCAGAGATTTTATATGCTGTGTATGAAGTGTAAGTAAATCCTGCTGTTCAGCTTGATTCCAGCTCCCGCCATGTGCAGCGGGTGCACACCCTTCGGTTTTGGCCCCCTCAAATCCTGCCTCTGCAGAGGCTGTGCCTCAGTGAGCACCCACAGCAGGCTGACCTCTCTGTCATAGAGTGGCCAGGTTTTGTCCCTGAAAAGGGAAAAGTTGGAAAAGGGGAGCTTTAGTGCAGAGAGAACACCAGAGACCTTGCTCTGCTGTCCTCCATCCTGTTTCCAAACCTCTTGTGTCTCCTCCGCTGCCTCTGGTACTTCAGGTGTCCTTTGCCAAACCATGTGCAGACAGCTGCATAGAGCTTTTTGGTGGTTTTTATGGTGTTGTGGTGGGACAGTGGTTGGATCAGTGGGGTCTAATTGTGGCAATGCCTGGAGGGGTGAAAGTTGTCCCTTTGGAACCATGGAGTTGGCAATGGAGCAGCTCAAACCTCCATGTGCCACCTCATGCTGTATCCCAGCTGCCAGCAGCTGGTTCAGCTCAGCAGCCAAACCAGCAGGCTGGGACCTCTGATGGGGGCAGTTTTGCCACTGCTGTTCCTTCCCTCACATCGTGGGGCTGATGAGGGTCAGCCCCTCACCAAAGGCAGCAATTTGTCACCAGTCAGTAATTATTGAACAGTGGAGAAGGGGCAGGGTCAGCTCTGCAGGTGAGACCTTGCCTGCATCTGGCCTGGGTGCCTGCTTACCTGTGTCCAGGGTGTGGAAATCAAAATAAATCAGTGCAGCCTCCCCAGGAGGGCAGCTGAGCTCAGAGGAAGGAGAATCTGTAAGCAGGGCTCAGCTTGCAAAATTAATACCAAGCAGGATGTTCTTCCCCCATAAATACCTTAGTGAATGAATGCCTGGGAGAGAAAAGTGCTAGTTGAACCAATGGACAAGATTTTTACAGGAACAAATGAGGCTGAAGTGGCCATGAACGCATTTGGGTTGGCAATCAGAGGTGTTTTAACTAGAAAAGGTGGGAGGAGGTGAGCCTGGCTGCTTGTAATTTCCAGCCACAAAGCATGGCTGCTGTAGGCATGGTTTGGATCGAGAAAGCTCAGCATCATGAGGGTATTTACCACAGCAGGGGTAGCTGCTCTGCAGGAGTGAATTCATGCCTGCAGACTCCTTGGGAGCTAATGCTGCACCCCATAGCCCTGAAAAGCCATAGAGAAACACTCAAGCCTAGCAATTTTAATCTTACCCACTTTAAGTTTTCCCCAGTGTAAAGTCATGATTACTGTGAACAAGGAAGTTAATTTGATAAGGCTCAATTCTCTTTCTTTATGTACTCTAGAGGTCATGGCAGGCAGGACTGGGGACCCTGTTCTTTGCAGTCTTGCAGTCAGTGAAGGTCTGGAAGGTCCACAGGACACGCAGGGCTCGTACTCACACTGCACCAAGAGCATTTGGTGCTGTCCCACGTCAGTGCAATCACCATGGCTTTCTCACACGAGGTTCCTGGATATCTGGGAGACCTCTTCTCTGGTGACACGTTGCCCAGAGAAACTGTGGATGCCCCATCCCTGGAAGTGTTCAAGGCCAGGTTGGATGGGGCTTTGAGCAACCTGGTCTAGCAGAAGGTGTCCCTCCCCGTGGTTCGGGGGTGGAATGAGATGAACTTAAAAGTTCCTTCCAACCCACAGCGTTTCGTGAATCTGTGTCCTGGGACATCTGGGAAATCAAATCAGTCCAGTAAATTTTTTTACCATAGTGTTTGACAGCTTGGATTAGATCTTCGTAGGATGGAGTCTGTTATCTACTGAAGATATTAAGTGGAAAAAAAGAGCAAAATGTGTAGGAAAAAGAACACTAATGAATCATTTTTAGCTTCTCCTGAAACCTGCCTATACCAGGAACAAATATGTCACTGAAAAGCAAGTCAATCAGTGATTGCCTTATGTCCTGAAGATCTTTCCTTTACAAACTTTTATCTCATCTAAGGACTTCCAAGGCTGCTATCTTTATTCAAATTACTATGTTTTACTACCATCTACCATATAATTTGTTGTTTGCCTGTTGTCATGTCACAGAGCATTACAAGTTTTACTCTCTGCTGTAATCATTCTCAAATTAAAGCTCTAGCTGCTCTGAAAACCTCTATAATATGCAGGTTTAACAGATGCTGTTTGATAGTGATTTCATTTAATTTACCCAAATAGAAAAAGAATCAGCAAATAACTCAATATTTCATATCAGCAAGGAGTGAGTTCTTGCTTGAAGCTAAATCCTTTGTAGAGTGCAAATTGTCAAGCTGCAGAGCCAAGTTGTCAGCCTTGAAAGTGTCATGTACGATGAAGTGCTGCTGTTCCTTGGAAACCTATTTGCAACCTATTGTGTCAGAAGTCCAATTTCAGTTCTACATCCCTAACAATGTTTTTGGTTTGTTGTTTTTTTTTTTTTATTTATTTATTTATTTAAATACTGTCAAGTCAAACTCAGCCTTGCAGACTGGAATGGTTGTGTTCTTGAGACGGTGACATGAGGGACTTTGAAGGTGTTCTGGGGCAACATCCTCCTTTGCCAAACTGTGGCACAAAATGCTACTTGGCTGTACAGAAAAGTGAAAATTGGAGGAAATGAAAAAAACCTATCCCATGTTTAAATGTATCTATAGAAAGCAGAGCTCTTTCCTATTCCCTTCTCTTGCATAGCTACATATATATATAGATAGCCACTGGAAGAGCAAAGCAGCAAGGTCTAGATCAAAGCTCTTTCAGGCCAGGGTTCCTCAAACCCTGACTCCACTGCCAGTGCTGTGGAACTGATGTTGATTTTCTCCCTGGGGCTCTGATAGAAGGTGGCTTTTACAGAGCTTGGGAAGGAGATGATGGGCTGGAGGCGAGTGAGGAATACTGGTCAAATGTCTCAAATCAGACAATAATTAGTAAAATGCTAAAACTGAATTAGAGCTTGAATTGTAAGGAAATAAGCATAAATTTTAGAAAGCTTCAATTGAATCTAAGCAGAACTATAGAGCACACATTTTAAAGGTGTCCTCCAAATTTACCTACAGTGTTATTCACCAGTATGTTGGTGTAACGAGTGCTCCAACCCAAAACCTCAGCCTAGTGCAGAATATCAGATCTCAACCCAAATCAGACCTGTCTAAACAGTCCTGGCAGGTCTATTTTGGTGTGTGCCAAGTCTTTACTTGGGCAGATACCTAGGTATGCTTCCAGCAGCTACATGTTCCAGAAATAAAACCAAAAAACACAGTGAAATCTTTGAACTGGAGACTTCTGTAGGCACTTTTTATAAAGTGTTTCTAAGTACTTACCCCTTAGAGTGGCTTATCCTTGAAAAAGTATGTTATTGTTCAAGAAAAGGGAAAAACCTTGATGTACAACATGAATGGCATATGTTTATAGACTGAAGGATGTCTTTGGGGGCTCTTCTTTCCTCTAGAGCCTTTTAAATATTCATTGTCTCATGGTGAACTGCACCACTGTGTGTGTTTATGGGTTCACACATATTGGAGTGCTAATTGCTGTTGTTTAGCAAACTCTTGAAATCTGTTCAGGTACAACAAAATAAGAATAAAATGTACTTTTTTTGTCCTACTTCCCATGTGTAATACAAGCTCAGTTTCCTGCTGTTTAAAGCATTGCTGCTGCTCTGTGAAAAATATTGTCCAGCAACAGAGGAAATAACATCCAGAAAAACAACAGCTTTACTATATACCAAAGTCTGTCAATTTTTTTTCCCCCAGTCTAATCTCTTACAGCTACTTCATTGTAACGATGGCAGGTAAGACCATTTTCAGGCAAAAAAGTGACCTTTCAGTTGACAGTGTGCTCTAATTGGTTTCAGCAATAGACCCCTGCACAAGTGGGAACGGAGGATGCTCACAAATCTGTCAAAACGCGGGAGGAATTGCAAAATGCGAGTGTCATCCAGGGCATTATCTTTCTGCAGACAAAAAGTCCTGTTTAGGTAAGAAACTATGGACTATTTATCGTGAAGAAAGTTATTAATCAGAGCTCACTGAGCTCTGGGTGGAGAGGAATGTGTTACACAAATATATGTGTGCATTTTGAATCAGCGTCTCTCTCTCTCTCTGTGATATTCACATCAGCCCACAGTCTTGAAGGACCATTTTGGTAATGAAAACTCCTCTGTGATCTCCTAAGTCATGCTTTCAAGCATCTGGATTTGTAGATGCTGTAGTGTTATTGTTGTAATGTTCCCTTTAAAATAATGTCCCAGATACAGCTCCTGGAAAATTGGTTCAAGTAACACTCTGAACCAGGTCACTGAAAACCTATTTAGAATTCAAAGGGCTTTTTAGCTGGAGAACTGTTTCCATATTAATGGAGAAACTACTGTGAAGGAAGAAATCCCGATGTGTAAGATTTCCAAAGAGAGTGGCTTAAAAAGTTGAAATCCAAAGTCCTGTATTTAGTCTGGGGTTCTCAAAAGGATCTATAGCATCTCTGACCCAAAATGTGTGGGGATTAGAGATCAAAATACCTGCTTTTCTCTTCCAATATGATTGAAAGCATTGGTGGACTTCATGGTGCACAGATTTTTAACAGCCAAGCCAGGATCAACATACATATTCAGATACTAATTTTAAACTCCTCCTTTTAAGAATTTGGTCAACATTTTACCAATATTTAAATTATTGTCTTGTATGAAGGGTGCTGGGTGCCTTGCAAAATACTTGCTTCCTACCCTGAGTATTTTATAGTGCCTGGAAGCCTTTGTATGAGTAGCAAGGCACACCTCAGCAATTGCCCTCTTACTGGAGTAGCTCATGAAGAAGTTACCGAAAAAAAAGTATTTTCAAGTAGTGTAGACACTTCACTGGTGATTATTAGATGGAAACAGCAGTGGATTTAACAGTAGGGTCAGCATGTTACTTGTTTTATCTCAGATACACATTGACAATTCCGTTAATTTATGTATAAACTAAAGCACTGAGTTAACTTGCAGTGTTATATATTGGAACAAATTTTCTCCCCAGCCTCATGGCAACAATCTTTTGAATCATTAAGCAGCATGTCTTGCCGTGGATATACAATTATTGGTTTTTTCCTCCTAGAAGTTATTCAATGTCTTTTGCAAAATTCAAGCTGGTACTTGACTCTCTGGAAGCCGAGCTGGAAGGACACAGAGGGCAACTGAAGTCTCATACTTTGGCTGCATTTCCAAGACAGGAAGAAACACATGCAGGATGGTGGCTGTTTACGGGTTTTCCAACCTTTTATTATTATTTTCGAAAAGAAGAAGAGAAAAGAATATTTACAGCACTGTCCAATGTACTCTACTTGCAAGCTGACAATTACAGAAAAAGGAGAAATAAGCCATTTTATTCTAAGCAGCAGCTGCTCACGGGGCTGCTTCAGAGAAGCTGTCATTTGTCCTGAAATTTTCATGAGCCCGTGTGTGGTGTTTGCACTGCCTGGGGCCTCTCTTTGCAAGGAGCCTGATTGCATTCATCAGGCTGCTTGTGTTCAACTACGAGGGGCCACGAGTACAGCACTGCTTACAGCACATGTGGAGGAAAAAAGCTCCTGGGAAGCAGTTTGCTGGGATAAAAGGTGAGGAGCTGCACACCAGACTGTTCCCTCCTGTGTGCGAGACACTGACCCAGGATTGGTGCAATAAATAATCTGCATTTTGCAAGGAAAATGTCAGAACAAGAAGGAGTAGGAGGTGGGTCAGGGGTTTGACATGTGTAATGCCACTCTTTGCACAGAGGTTGGTGTTTTGTGCAGCTGTGCAGTACTTAGTGTAAGTTTTTGCTTTGCTTTTTTTGCAGTAATTACTTCTTAAAAGTGTTTTTATGCTCCACTGAGGTTTTAGGAAGATGGACAACTTTGGTAATGTTTAAGTCCAAAACACAGACTAGTACATGTGAAGGTGAGGAACAGACTGTTTGACAGAGGACTGGGGGAAGAACAGCCTCTCCACCAACAGCTCTGCACCTTTTTCTTTTCTTACAAGTGGGGTGAAGCTCCTCTGGCTAGAGCAGCTGCAGGATTCAGGGATGTGACAGAGAAGTTCTGTCTCCATAATCCCTGCTGAAACCCAGCCACCATTTAACCCAGATCATTTGACATTCACAAAATAATCAACTATTTCCTGCTCCATTAATTTAAATATAATGGCATTGAGGACCTGGTGATAATTTCAGAGTAAGGACTTTCTTCTGTGTTCTTCATGTGGCATCTTTTGCCACTGCTCTTTTACAGGAATAATAAACAAGTTGCTTTGGCTGATACTGTAAATATAATGTTTGATGTTGTAGATACTCACTCTGAGAAGTTCAAGGTCAATGGTGTTTAGAAAAAAAAGATTGTTTTGGAGAATAATGTCACTTCAGTGTCTCTGGATTTGTCAGATGCTGCCCTTTGTAGACTCACATCAGGATGCCATTTTCAGCAGATGTTTGGACACACAGCCATGTCCACGTAGAGCAATAATATGCTTTATTTTAATATCCAAGTGAATGTCTTTGCCTTTCTCCCTGCTCTGCAGACATTGATGAGTGTGCAGAAGGCAGAGCCAGGTGTGCTCATCGTTGTGTGAACACTCTGGGATCCTTCACCTGTGCCTGCAATCCTGGCTTCGAGCTGGGGGCTGATGGAAAGCAGTGCTACCGTAAGTGACACCTGTACAGCTGCACGTTTCAGGCTGGTTTAGCTCCAAACTGCTATGCTTTGCTTTTAATTCAGTGAGATTAGCATTCCCAGCAAAATAAATGTATGCAAAAGCTCAAGCTTAATAGTATTTTCTCTATCTTCTGCTGCTGCTGGGTTTGCAGGGTGACACGTTCCTAAGCCTGTGTTCACAGACCTTAATTACTGCATTTCAAAGAGCAAATAGCCTGGTTGGTTTATCTTCAGAGTCTGGTGAATTCTACTGCAGAGCTACCAGAATATTGCTGCTCAATGCAATGCTTCCTGCCCTCCTCCTCCCAATTTTCTTTTATGCTGAGGCCGATGCAAGAGAAAATGAACACGATGTTCTGCTCTTGTCTTTATCTATCTGGGTTTGCTTATGTTTCTCATGAGTTTATTGACTCTATTAAGAGGATGCTTTTTTAAAAAGGAGAAAAAAGAAGAAGGATTGGGGATTAAAAAAATAGCTGAACATCTAAGATTTCCTAAACTAAAGTGATCCCTGTTGTCTTCTCTCACATACTTACCTCTTGCCAGGGGGGTTTCTTAATCAACACTACTTTTCTGGAAATGGGGATTGACTCCCAGCACTATTAGTTGATAGGTGATTCCTGGGCTGTCCTTGAGGGCAAATTTAGGTTAATAAAGGAGGTGATGTGGAAGAGTTGGGGTTATTATGGACCTAACATAAGCTCACTGGAATGCAGACAAAAGCATGACCTGTTTTAGCAAAGAGGTGGGCAAAGATCATTCAATCTAATAATACTGTGCAAGAGCTTTCAGCAGTGTTTCCTTAGGAAAATACAGTGCATGCCAGAGAATGAGTGCTTTATTTAAGAATGTGTGTGTAAGAAATACTTATTAAGGATGAAATTCAGTTTCAAAGCATTAGCATACATTAAAAACAAAACCGAATTATGTGAGAGACATCCTGGAGAGCTATTTCATAGGAGATGGGGAACTGTGAGTGGTACAATGGCAGAGGAAATGTGATTAATATATAGATATGAAATGTTCTATTATAGGCATAAAAAAGAGGTTTAGACCACTTAGATTTCATTGTGGTTTTCTGATAATATATTTTCTGGATGTTCAGCAGATCTCAAGGGATGGTGATTCTCTGTGCCTCATGAACAATATTGCAGAGCAAACAATAAAAATAAAAACATTCTGCATATATTTATGATCAGGATTATCCCAGTGTTTGAGCAATTTACAATCTTTGTTTATTCTTTCATTTCCCCAGTGGCTTGGGGAAGAGCTGTTATTCCAATTTTACTGATGAAGAACTGAGACAAAGTAAAGGATGAAGACTGTGTATAAAGTCAGATTCTGCATTTAATCGCTGGGTTTCCTAAATCCCAGCTTAACGTACTGGACAGGAGGCAGGATTTCTTATCCCTGGTGCACATAATCATCCTATGCATGAGATGTAGCCCTCAATATTTCTTCTCCTAATTTATACTCTCTTCCAGCTAGACTTGCATTTCTTGTTGGCAAGCAGGTTTCTCTCTGGGAGCACCAAGAGGGGTAAGACCAGACCCACAAATGTGTCTGGGGAAATTCTGTGCCAGAAATGAGCTGGGGCGTTTCTGGAACTACAGTGGTTTCTTTAGGAAGGATGTTTCTCGGTTCCCCTGCATAGCATGAGAAATTAATTCCTCTCTAAATAGCTCTGTAACAAGACAATCCAGCTAATCCTTCAAGAGAAACTTTATAATTGACCCCATAGTTTCTTTTCATCCTGAAGAAATCATCTGATGAAGTACCTGGGTGGGAATGAGGTGGCCAGATATTCCCTTTTCTCTATGAGGGTTCCTGCTGGACATGACCAGGATGTTGTGAGGACTGTCCAGCAGTGCAGGAGGGTGGGGGGATCTGTCAGGGTGAAGGGGGATGGCAGTGACATTGTACCACCAGCCTCTCTTAGCTGTAGGGGACAGAGTCTCAGCAGAAGAGCTGCTCCGTGCTGCTGGAAAGGACATCCAGGGGCCAAAACCTGCAGATTGTTCTGTGTTGTGGTTGGGTGCCCACTTCACCAGCAGGACTCTACTACGGAAGTTTTAATGCCTTTGTGTTTGGTGGATGTTTCAGCATCCAAGTCTTTGCCATTCCCATACAAATCTAGAAGCTGCTCTTTGGAAAGCATAAGCAGGCTGGGTTGAGATGGACCACCTGGGCTCCTCAGATGGTTCTTTTCCTCCTTTGGGGCAAGGATTGTGTCCAAACAAAGCATAAATCTGAGGAAACCTGTGGAGGCTCCTGTAGCAGGCAGGCTGCTGGAATGCTGAGCTGGCTTCACGTTGCTGAAGTCAAGTGAATCCACTGTTATGACACATGGAGACAAACACCCGGAGCTCAGTGACTCCAAAGCGTGCTCTTCTGGGGCGTGTGAGGGAGCTGAGTTTATGTTCCCTGCTGCAGCACTTGGCTCATGGCTGCTGTTTTACAGAAGGCTGATTCTCCAGTGACTCCCCCCCTGGGCTTGCTTTTTAACATCCTTTTGATTTATTTCTCTGCAAGGCATCGAGATGGAAATCGTCGATAGCTGCCAGGAGGGCAACGGAGGCTGCTCCCACCACTGCGAGCACACGGCCGCAGGGCCCCGCTGCTCCTGCGACAGCGGGTATCGCCTGGGCATGGATGGACAGACCTGCACGGGTAATCCAGGGAGGCAGGAGGTGGGGGGGGGGCTCTGCAAGGGTTGCTGTCACTCAAGGAAATACCTTCCCAGTCCTTCCCTTCTTCTGCAAGTGTTAATTAGTGTCGTCCTCTGGCGCTTCCTCGGCTCTGCTCCAGCTTGCCCTGCTCCGTGTGTTCACGAGGATTGTTCATTAACGAGGGGAAGGAGTTCTGCCTCCCTAATGGAAGATGACACTGGTGCATCACCAGTTGCCATGGCCATATCTCACTGTGTGCAACCCTGACTTGACTTGATTTTCCTTCCCTTCTCAGCCAGTGGCTGGGAAGAGGTTGGCTCTGGCTGGGAGCAGCGACACGGCTGCTCTGAAGTGCTTCATGCACAAACCTCACTTTGTGATATGGAGGTTGCTGTGTTTCCATGAGATTTACTCAGTGATGAGATTGCACTTCTGGCTGTGAGAAGTCTCACTTGGGAAGTGAAAGCAATATAGTTATTTTGGGTTTACTTCAAGAGAAGAGCTTAAAAATTCATGTTTTGCAGAGCAACCTCCTGCCCACATCCCAGCTCAGTGGCCTGCTGATGGGGGTTTCAGAGGGAAGCTGTTACTCCAGGCACAGAAAAAGAAGGGAGAGCACAAAGGAAGGGTCTGGCAAGGCTGAGGACGTGGAAAGTTGCTCTTAATAGCAAAAATCTCCTTTTTGTTGGATGTATGTTTTGTATTCCTGCACAAACAAGGAGCTGTTGGTGGACCCCAGAGCATCACCTGACATACTGCAGGGGAGCTCAGCTTGTGACGTTTCTGGAAAACACTGCATTCAAATAACCTGCATTAATCATTTTCACAGTGGCCTCCTCACCTCAATTGATTAATTACATTTTCTTTCTCCTGCTCGTGTTTCCTCATAAAGTTGGTGCTCCTTCCAAGGTTAATTGAGACACTGACCTCTCCCATCTGCAGCTGCTCAGCTGGGCAACCTTCAGAAGCATTTTGCAGACTCAGCATTGACAAGGTGGCCCTTGGATGGCCACTGAGCTGCTCAGGAGCCTGCCCGGGCTGACAGCAGCCAGGAGCCTGCAGTGCAAAGATAACAACTCAGTTCTTGTATCTAATCACCAGAACAGGGGAGTCAATGCTACCAACTTCTGGGTGGACACAGAGCAGGACGAGGCAACAGACAATTAGTTATCAAAACTGCAATTAGTTAACAAAGACTATAATTGCCCCTACCAGCTGCTGATGTCCAGTAAAATGCCTTGTTGGATCAGAGCATTGTTTCACTGTTAGTTTGCACTGAATAAGGCTAAATGTAAAGTCCAAGTGGTTAAATGTAGGTTACTGCTAAAGTGCAGGTATTTGAGGGCTGGTGGGTCCTAGCTGTTGTCTGTTTTCATAGAATCATAGAGTACCCTGAGTTGGAAGGGACCCACAAGGATCAAGTCCAACTCCTGGCCCTGCACAGGACACCCCAAGTGCCTGAAAGTGTCATCCAAACACTCTTTGAGCTCTGTCAGGCTTAGTGCTCTGGGGAGCCTGTTCCAGTGCCCAAACACCCTCTGGGTGAAGAACCTTTTCCTAATATCCAGCCTAAACCTCCCCTGACACAGTTCCAGCTGTTCCCTTGGGTCCTACTGCTGGTCACCAGCAAGACCAGCTGATGCTTTGTAAGTCACCTCGTGGCAGCTGAGACTTGTGGAGGAGATGCCTCTCCCTGGACATGGAGGGTGTTGGCTGCTATGGGAGAAGGTAGAAGACAGCTGCTGTCAGGATTCAGGATTCAAACAGTGCTTTGGGTGGGTGAAGGGAGAGGAAGACATAAAAAGATGTGCACTGAAGCACAGTAGCCATGAGCAGAACTGTGGCAGCAGCTCAGACTGTGTCCAAGGGCTGAATGTGCTGCCCTTTCCTTGCAGAGGTGGACGAGTGTGAGACTGGGGAGTCCTGCTGCTCCCAGTTCTGCATCAACTACGTGGGGGGCTATGAGTGTGCCTGCAAAGGGGGGTTCCAGCTCAACGCCGATGGCTGTGCCTGCGACGGTGAGTCATGGAATCATGGAATGGTTTGAGTTGGAAGGGGCTTAAAGATCGTCTCATTCCCACATCCCTGCCATGGGCAGGGACACCTTCAACAAGACCAGGTTGCTCCAAGCCCTGTCCAGCCTGGCCTTGATGGGAGCAGCAGGGACTTCCAGGGATGAGGCAGCCACAGTTTCTCTGGGCAACCTATGCCAGGGCCTCACCACCCTCACAGGGAAGAATTTTTTCCTAATATCCAATCTAATCCTGCCCTCTGTTAATTTAAAGCCATTCTCACTTGTTCTATATCATTCCATGCCCTTGTCAAAAGTCCTTTGATACCAGAGGCTAAATCTAACTAAGCACAACCAAGGGCAGAAGAAATGCTGTCAAAGCCCATTGCAGGGCTTTGTAGGCATTGCCCTAATGAGAGAATCGCTGACCCTCTGCCAGCTTTGCTGATAAGGTTTTACAAATGTGTAATTTCCTTTTTATGAGGCTGGAATACAGGAATAACCCAGCATTCAGCATGGCAAAGAGGGGATAGGAGAGATGAGCCAGCAGAGCGGAACTTTTCCTCCTCTCTCCACAGACACTGTATACTGATGTGTGTTAAAGACTCCTTCTACAAAAGAAGAGCCCTCAAAATAACTGAAGGATCAACTGGGCTTAACAGCTTAAAGCAGCTGTTTGCTCTTGAAACAAAAACATCCAAATAATCTGTTCCACGTTGCCCTAAAATGTTTTCATATCTCCAATACTAGTGAGAAACAGAGACCCAGAGTACAAAGAAAATTAGGTTTTCTTATGTGCAGAACAGTTTGTCCAATGCAACCAGGTACAGTGTGGTACTTGCTCCTAATCACCATTTCTATCTGGATTTCCTAGATGTGGATGAATGCCGTGTGGATAATGGCAACTGCGACCATTTCTGTGTTAATTCCCTGGGGTCGTACGAATGTGCCTGTAAGGAGGGGTACAGGCTCGGTGATAACAGATGGGCCTGTGTCGGTGAGTTCTTTTTATATCTTGAGGGCCATTAAGTATTTAAAATGTGATTTTGGAACTGGGATTTTCACAGATCCTGGGATTTTGGGAGCCCAACTGGAGCCATCTCTGAACGTGGCCAGGGTAGAGCTACGTGCGGTGAGTGGATCCAAGTTCATCCTCCAGTAATGGGTTTTGCCAAAGATTAATGGGAGATGAACACTTAAATACCCTGGACATGCTCAAAAACCTAATGCTCATGTTTTTTAAATAAATAGTGTTTTGACAGTTTTCTTTCACTGTTTGATGAAGTTTAACATCCTGTGGAAAAGAAAAGGTAGCCAGATTCTGCTTTGATCAACCACAGCAAGTTTTCCATTAGTCAATGGTGTGAGGCTGGATTTCTGCCAGTGTAACCAGTACAGAGTTTAGCTAAGCAACTCAGTTTTATAACCAAGTTTAACACCTGCTAAAGCTTGGGCAGAGTTTGATACTGCAACCAACACCAAAAAGAAAGCCAACTGATTTCTCGTCATTTTAAGACTCAAATTTTAGTGTTTCTGAAAATAAATTGCACAGCCAGCCTGACTCTCTATTTGTCATCTCCAAAACGAGCAAGAGTAATGACCTTCATTAACTAAAAATAATCTCAAACTTCAAGTGAGGAAAATTAATCTCTTCGTTTAATTTTTTTTTTTTTTAATTCGCCAGGACCAGAGTTTATTTCCAGAAGAAAGAAAAGGGAAAGATGGGGAGGTTCCCCTCTTCTCTCTTTTTTTTTTTTTTTTTTGAGTAGCAGAAACTCTGTAAGTCCAGGTGAGAAAATGACTTGGCTGTGACCGCTGGGCAAACTGAACAGGGGTGTCACTGGAAAACCTACCAATGTCATAGTAAAAAGAAAAAGATGTAAATGAGAGGAAAGCGCTGTGGGGGAAGACTGAGGTGCTGATGGTGTGTGTTTGTGTCAGCCCTAGGTGGGGAGGAGGCAGATGCAGAGGAGGCAGTGGGGTTCGCTGGTGCTCCGGGGCTGCAGTTCCGAGGTCCCCCCCAGCTCCTCCACTACGCGCTCGGGGCCCTGTACGAGGATGAAGACCCCCGAGGAGAGCTCACCCTGGTGCACAGGGTCGGTGAGTGCCCTGAGTGCTCTGAGCCACCACAGCAAACTGGGGGAACGGTCTCGGAAAGAGGATTTGGGGCGAGAGTTGTGCTGGGATGGCCGGGGTTGAGTGTCGGGATGGGCGTTAATCCTGCTTCTTGCCTCTCTCCGTGCCAGCAGGGATGAGGCTGTGTCCCATCCCAAATGGGACACGTTTGAGGAACTGGGAGGCTGCCTGGATGCAGTGGGGAGGGATACAGGGGGCTGCAGGGGGAAAGTGAGCAGCACAGCAAGCAAGGACTGGGAGGCTGCTTGGAAAACAGGGTATCTGCGCAGAGCCCCAGAGGCAACAGCCAGAGAGATCTCTTCATCCCGAGGGTGAGAGGATTGTGTGGGTTACTGAGTGTACAAAATCCCTTGGGAAACGCTCCCTTTCTCCTAGAGCTGGGAAAGGGAGTGTGGGGGCACCATATGTCCCTGTTTACAAACCCTTTTATAACAACTGGAGGACTTTTGTTTAAGATATTTGCATTTTTGTTTGTGGAACAAACAACCCTCTGAAGACTCAGGTGTCTTTTGATGTTTTGGACATGTTCTCCAGGAAAAGGACAGACCCATCCACATAGGTTGGCCAAGGGCTTGGCACCAGTGGTGATGAACAGCACAGGAGCACCCACTGTCACAGGAGTGGGTGCAGAGCAGCTTTGCAAACCCACCTGGGCTTTGCATGACTTCAGTCTTGCCACCTTAAAGTGGAAACTTCACCACTTAAAGACTATTATGAGGTGAAACCCCGTGTTTGCTTCGTGCTGAGTGCTGGTGGGTCACCAGGGACGAGTGAGATTTCTTGTTTTTCCTCTGTGTGTCCTGTGATTTTTATATAAGCCCTAATTACTCATCTGAGGACTGTACCCTACAGGCAAAAATCAGAAGCTGGTCTTGACTTTGATAAAAAATTAACTTGTTTTTATGAACAAAACTGTTAAGACCCCCCCCAAATCACACAGCATCCAGCCGGACTCAGCGACACCAATAACCAATTGGGAAACTGATAAATGAGATAACCACAGGCAAAATTATCAGGCCTAGAAACCACAATCAAATATTTATTGACCACTTTTTGCATGTTTTATTTATATTTAGCCACAGAAATTTGGGTCTTATCAGTCATAGCTGAGAAGCTGCACTTTTTCTAAGGCTGAGGCTTTGCAGCACACAGTGGTTTGTAGGAAAAGGTGATGGAGAAATAGAACTTTAAATGGTTTAGTAGATTCTTTTATCTCCCAGATAGTAATTTATTGCTTATACTTTCAGACATATTTTTTGAGCTGCTATCTGTATTACAAAAAGATCATGTTTTATCAATAAGCTGGTGTAAGTAATTAAATATTTTCTACAGCTTGAATGACTTTTTAATGTGGAAGCATAATGTTTTTAATGGTAATCTGTATTCTTCTGCTGAAATACGAATTTGTAACCTGTCCCAAGTGGGAGCACTGCGATTCTGAATGTCTCTGAAAGCTTGGGCATTTTTTCAGCTGCAGAAAAGGGAACTAAGAGTTGGGTGCTCAGACCTAGAGGAAATCTGTCTTCACACAGAAAATTGCTGGTGAAAAGCAACCAGCCTGTGACTTACTGGATGCTGTAATAAGCTGCCAGCTCACTTTCAGGTGCTGTTCAAAGTCTCCTTCCAAAAAGCCTCCAGCCACAGCCACAAAGCCTCAAAGGCAATAAAGTGACCATGTGGATGGGATCTTAATGCCACTGAGGTATTTTATCAAACAGTAACACAACACTTATTTTCTATGTTTTTCTCGATAGACCCCACAAAGAGAACATGAGGGTGCAAGAGAGAAAAGGAGAGTGGAGAAGGGGAGGGAGGAATGCATTTTCATATAAGGTTTCCTGTATAAACTAACTGCTTTTTTCATGTGCATGAAGAAAAAAGGAAGTGATAAATGTGTATTTTGTTTTGTTATCCTAGAATAACACTCAAACTATCCTGTTAAAAATATCAATGAACAATATTTAAATAGCACTACATCCACTTACTGCAGTAGAACAACAGAGTTAACCTAGCAAGGAGAGAAGGAGAATCTCTCCCAATAAATTCAATATTAAGCATTAGGTGCAAATTCACTTCTCTGAAGGCAAAATATTTGCTCTTAAGAAGTAGCTTGAAGTGCTCTTTGCTGGGGAATTACAGCATTTAAGGGAGTAAATTTCAACTAAACTCCCAGCTTCCCTTTTACTTAGAGTCAAAAATTCAAAGAGGAAAATTCAGGCATCTCCGTTTTGGACTGTCTTCTGCACTGCATCGGTGGCATTTGCAACCTAACAATAGGTAAGAGCTTGTGTGGAAGCATTTTATCTGGCTGCTCACTGAGCATTGTATGGGTTTTTTTTCATTTCAGTTTGCCTTGATAACACTTTCGGCCACGACTGCAGCCTGAGGTGTGAGGACTGTCTGAACGGGGGCCGGTGTGACAGCGACCACAGCGGCTGTGTTTGCCCCCCTGGCTGGACTGGAATTATCTGCAATGAGAGTGAGTACAGAGGGTTTGAGAAGTGGGCAATTGGTCCTCGTGCTGGGACACTGCAGGTAGGAAATAAGAATAACCTGTCGTACTTCTAATCTGCAAAGCTCTTTAAGGAACACATCAAAATTTTATTGTGTTGGGGCACAGTAAATAGAAATTGTAAGGGGTGCTGTGGGACACAATGCAAACCCTCAAAGAGTGAGGTCCTTGCCCTCCAGTACAGGACAGCATCATAACCCTCCTAAATATTTGGTTGCTGTTCATTCACTCTGCTGATAAAAACTGCCAAAGTTTGCTGGCCATGCTTCATTCCACAACTTGCCTCGATGACTTTCAGAAGTCTGTCCCAGCAGCTGGTGTGACAATCTGGGTGGACATGTACATTAAACTTCAGTTTTGCCATCATAGCATCCCAAGACATTGCCTTTATTCATTTTTTTTCCATTTTTTTCCTTATAATTGTTTTTATTATTAGCATCATATTCTTGGGACGACTATTTTTTCATATTGGAAATTGTGTTTTTCAGAATTCTCTTGCCAAGTCAGTGCCCTTTATAATAGCTTTCCACTCTTCTTATTCCTGCTTCCTGGCAGAAGATCTTTCTGATTCAGAAGTATGTGTCAAAACCAACTGGAAAGAGAGTGGTGATTTCTTGATTCGCTGTTTTTCATCTGCAGTTTGGCAAAACTTGTCTGTTGCTTGTCTGAGCAGATTTCCTGTGCTTTTGAGATGAGTTCCTTTGTTTCATGGTGTGTGATATGATGGCCCATCATACTCAGAAAGTCTGTGCTGTCACTGGTGAGACAAAGAGTCGATGAAAATTTATTACTTGACATCAGTAGACAGCAATCTTCAGGTTAATTGCCATCAAGATTGTTTATCAGGCGTCATCACAAGGACAGAAATATAGAAAACCCAGCAAGTGATTGAAACCAACAGTCTGCCCATAGTTATTTTGGGAGACTGATGGTGGGTTTGGTTTGTAAACACTGGGGACAGCTGAGAGAATAAGAATGGAGAGGATTAAAATGATGATTTCCAGCCTCCCTAGGACAGTTATCAATTAGCAAATATATCAAATTATCAAGTTAGTATATTTTTCTATTCCTGGTGCTCCGATGATTCAGGATAGATTATAAAATTCTCAAGGTAGAATATAAATTCTTTAGTTAATTTTATAAATAATAACTTTTTTGGTGTATATTTACAGTCAATATCCATTGGTGGAATTCACCTCTGGAATTTAAAGAACTTTAATAGGCCTGTGTTATTGAGCCAAACCCGTAGTCCAGCAAAATAGGCATTGATAGTGATGATACAATATTTAATGAATTAGCCATAAGTGATTGCTTTCAGTCTTTTCTCTTACTTTTTTAATATACAGCATAGTTCCTGGGTTCGGGGTAGGCTAAAACTGTTGAGAAAACTGCAACTAAATTTCTCTAATAATACACCAAAGAAGCTGAATGAAAATTGATGTGAAATGTCAACTTTCTTAATGTGCATTGATAAAATGTCAGTTAAGTCAGATGACTCCAGCAACTGTATTCACTCAGCCAGCTCAGGCTGCAAAAGTGGAGCGAGGCTTCATCTCACAGTTTGGTTTTGCTTTTGTGGCCCCATTGCTGCCTTGATCATCTGGGCAGTTTCAGAGACTGTGTTGGAAAAACACAGTGTTATTTTCATAATAGTATTTGGGAGAGGGGAAAAAAAATGTTTAAAATTTTTATCTCCAAATATTCAAAGCTGTGCTCTGATTTTTAAGCTCTGAACTTGACAGGCAGAGGTTTTGGAATTATGGGGAGGGAAGCACATGCAGGGGAAGGTTGGATACGTGATGTAGTACTTCACAAAGCTTGATTAATTCGGGTGTCCTTTGCAATGTTCTAGTAAATACCAGATAGATGCCCATTGCCTTACATAGAAAGAATATGACTCTGTTTAGAGCCCGCTGGACTAAAAGGACTCTCTCCTTGCTCAGTTTTCATGACTGAAATCTTATTTCGCTTTTTTTACAGCAAAGTGGAAGGATTTCTTAGTCTGCTCACCTTCCCTGCTCTCTCCACAGCTTGTCCCCCCGGGACCTACGGCAGAGGCTGTGCTGGTGTCTGCAAGTGCCAGAACGGAGGCTCCTGTGACCCCGGCACGGGGCAGTGCCGCTGCCTGCCCGGAGTGCACGGCCGGCTCTGCGAGGATGGTACGGCCCCATCCGTGCCTGGAGCATCTCCACTTCTTCCCCCCTTGTTTCTTTTTTTTTAAATAATGAGCAAAACAGTGCGTGAGAGAAAGCAAGTGGCTGGTGAGCTGCAGGTCAGCCACCGGCCAGCCTGGGCTTTCTGTAGCGCCAGCTAAAAGCAAACTGATTTGGAGCTGGGGTTTTAACCCTTGGCAGCTGATTCCTTGCTGTGTTTGTGCACTCCAAAGGTTGCCCGAAAGGTTTCTTTGGGAAGAACTGTAACAAGCCGTGCAACTGTGCCAACAAGGGCTACTGCCACAGACTCTATGGAGCCTGCCTGTGTGACCCCGGGCTCTACGGGCGCTTCTGCCACCTCAGTAAGTCCCCAGCATTTTTCAGATCTGCTTAATGCACGCATCACATAATAGTGTTGAAAGATTCCACATGGTATAAAGGAGGCTTGCAAAAAGGGAGGACAGTGACTTTTTACATAGGAAAGGTAATAGGACAAGGGGAAATGGTCTTAAGCTGAAGGATGGCAGATTTACATTAGACATTAAGAATAAATTTTTTACTACAAGAGTGATGACTGGCACAGGTTGCCCAAAGGAACTGTGGCTGCTCCATCCCTGGAAGTGTTCAAGGCCAGGTTGGACGGGGCTTGGAGCAACCTGGCCCAGTGGAAGGAGTCCCTGCCCATGGCAGGGGGTGGAACTAGATGGGCTTTATGTTCCCTCCCAACCCAAACCATTCTATCATTCTATGATAAAATGAGTGAGGCTTTGGGTTCTGCAATGGGCTGGGAGTAGCAGGACTTCGGACATGTGTCAGGAGGCCACAAAAACTTCATTAATCTTTTCCTCTAGCAATTAATCTTTGCCATAAGGACAGAGATTTACTGACACACAAAGGTGAGGACTACAGGTAGGGTTGGGTTGGGGTGGGCAGGTTAACATTAGGGTTACTGCCGAGGTTAGAGCCTGGTTGGAGCTGGTTAGGGACTGCCAGTGTGGTTGGAGTGGGAGCTGAGGAGCAGAGGCAGGATGAGGGCAAAATGTTAGATGGGAAAAAAAGAAGTAAACCAAAAACATTGCAAGTTTCATTGTACTTACAGGCTTTGTTTGTAAAATCTGTGCAAGACTGAAAATCTTCTGTGTTTTGTTTTATGTTTGTTTGTTTTTTTTAATGAAAACTTTTGTCTCGGAGCGCACCCAAATATTTTTTCATTCAGAAACTTAGTTAAGTTTGCTTTGAAACGTTTCTGGTTCTCGCATTCACATGCTGCTTGACATGAAATGAATCACTTAACACAGGAGTCATGTGAAGTCTGTTTTACCCACCCACACACGAGCAGGCGCTGCCACAGGAACGGGGATCGCGTTTGCTGGGAGCAAAGCGAGGGTTTTGCTTCTTGCAGCAGTGGCGTTCTGCAGCGGCGTGCAATTCCAAACAACTCCTGCATGATTGCAGAGCTAATGGCTCCTTTTCATCTGGCTGCAGCCTGTCCCAGGTGGGCCTTCGGAGCGGGCTGCTCGGAGGACTGTCAGTGTGTGAAGGAGCACACGCTGGAGTGCGACGCCAGGAACGGCTCCTGCACCTGCAAGCCTGGGTATCACGGCAAGAAGTGTCAGAGAGGTACCCTGGAAAGCCAGATTCCCCATCTCTGCTTATTCCTTTATCCCAGTAATTTCTCATTCTTCTGCCCATCTGTTTTGTTTGGCTGCTGTTACTAATATAGTCCTATTCTACTCATAATTTAGTGTGGGTTTTTTAGCCCTGATGGCACAGGGTCGCAGGGACATCAAGGGGAATACAGCTTAAGAATGCAGGAGTTTTAGCCTGATCAAATAGCAACAGAAATCCGGAACCCAAATTCTAATACAGCCCTAAATAATGAAGATTGTGGGAGTTTTCACTTTTGTTCTGTGCTTTTTCCACACAGACAGTAAATAAGTGGCAAACCCCGTGTTTTGTGGCAGCAGTGTGATTTGTAAATGGGTTCAGCAATGCTGCTTTTCCTTCAGATTTGCAGCCCTTTGAATTCAAACTTACTCTTTGTAGTTTTTGGGGGGTAGTTCAAAGAGAATTGTATTCCACATTCATGTTTGCATGTCTCAGTAGCCCTTTCCAGACAGCAGTGGAGTAAAGCAATAGGGTTTCTTCTCTGGGCAGACAGGAACATGACAGATTGATGGCACTGGTTCTGGGGGTTTAGTAGAGAACAATAGTGACAATATTTAATAATTTTAGCATTCTTGGTGATGGGGCTCAGTTCTGGCAGGGAGCATCCCTTGCCCAGCACTGGCTTTGCACCAAGGCAGAGAGCAGCAGAATGTACAGACATATAAGAGAATTCTGTAATGGCTGTAATTGAATATATCCTTAAGTATCCTAATTCAATAAGTTACAAGTTAATTATTCTACCACTCTGTTTCTGGCTTGTATATGAGCACAAACCTCTGTGAAATGTCCACGCAAATGTTTATTAAGTATTTATACTTTGTTATCACCACCTCTAAAACATACATTATGTTTTCTGATTTTAGTTCAGTTTTCTTAACTCTTCCTTTTTCTTATACATGTTCTCTGTCTACCTCCATTTCCAGAGTGCACACCTGGCTTTTATGGGGCTGGTTGCAAGCTGAGGTGCAACTGTCCTCCTGATATTTTGTGTGATCCTGAGACAGGAGTCTGCAAACATCCGTGTCCACCTGGGTTTCATGGAGAAAAATGCCATTTATGTAGGTACTCACTGCATGTTTCCCTGGGAGATGCACTTTGGATGGGAAAGAGTATTCAGGAAACTTATGTTCAGATATAGAAGTTGCAAATAAAAGGGCACATTTGTTGTTGATACGAGTTGGCAGTTCCCCACTGAAACTGAAGTGATATTTGGAGCCTGGCAAATGCTGTCTCTCTCTGCTCGCAAAGGTCGAGGAACAAGGCTGAGACCAGTTACTAAAACTAACATTTGTCCAGGTAACTGTAGCTGCTTTTAAAGCTTCAGGCACAGAATTTCCCACAGCTCTGTTGCAGTTAATTACAGACCACCAGTTGCTGAGACACTAATGCTAATATTGATCACTTTTACCAGGGCAGCTCAGTTAAAAATTGGTGGTGGTGGTGCCTCCTAATGTCTTCAAAATGCTTCCTAACCGGGTCTTTGGGTTTCTTTCGTCCTAGCTTGTCAGCCTGGGAGTTTTGGGGTGAGCTGCAGGCAGAGGTGCAACTGTGGAGGAGCACCATGTGATCCAAAGACAGGGCAGTGTGTTTGCCCAGCTGGGAAGACTGGTGCTACGTGTGAGCAAGGTGTGTTGCACCAGGGTGATGAGTGCCCTGCTTTGGAAGACATGATAAGATGTGCAATCACTCTGTCTCCCACCCAAACTGCTGCAGTGCAATGTGCTTCATTTGCAGAATGGATAATGGATCAGTCTTGGTGCAGAACAGGTGACATCCACTGCGTGGGATTGCTTGGAAAAGAGGGAGTGTGGCTCAGTTATCCTGCCCCATGTCTCTGCTCCAGTTAATAGCAGTGATTTGTATGTTGGGCTGGGTTTGTACAAGTTGGGCAGAGATGTTGGTGCATTGCAGCAGCTCGGAGTCCCAGAGCAGAGCTTGGGACTGTGCTGCCACAGGCACACAGGGTGTCTCAGTGGAGGGGCCTTGGCCAAAAACAGCTGTTGTTAAACCAGCAAGAACCTAGAATGGAGGAAGTAATTAAAAAGGACAATATTATTGTGGGTAATTAAGTAAAGGGATGTAAAAAGTCTCAGAGACACTGAACTACTGAGACGTGGGATGTACCCTGGCCACTCTCAAAGCTCTGGCTGTCACACACCTGAGGAGCATCTGCTGGACCCAGGTTGTGTCTCACTACTCCACAGAGCACAAAGGAGGTGGAGCAGTGGAGACCTGGGCTCCAACTCACATCCAGTCCCTCTGGGCTGTGTGACCAGCCAGACCCCCACCAGCCCAGCAAAAATACAACAGCAGCCCTTCCCTCCTGCAGATTACCATCCTCTGGAGATCTCCTTTGCTGAGTGCAATAATTAATTTTTCAGATACATCCAAATACTCCTGATATTACTGTGTCAGAAACCAAACTAATAAACAGACACACAGTGATGGAAGTTGGGAGAGAGCCTTTGGGTCTCTCTTTAGCTGAGTTCTCACATGCTGCAGTGTACTGTGACAGGGCTGTAGGTCTGTAGAGATAATATAACAATCCAACTCAATTTTACTGGTACTTTTAAATTCTTCTACAGAAATCTGTAATTGTCCTGTAGCAGAAAATGGCATTGGGGAAACCTCATGTATTTTTTTCCCTAGATTGCCCAGCTGGCTGGTGGGGACCAGACTGCCAGTCCTCCTGTGAACCCTGTGCCAATGGGGGACAGTGCAACAGAGAAACTGGAGCCTGTGACTGTCCCCCTGGCTACACTGGGGCATCCTGCTCTGACAGTAAGTCCTTGCATCAGCCTTCCCCATGAAAAGAAAGTCAGATTGAAAATTCACTTAATGATTTCTACCTTCTTGCTTTGTGAGATGCAACGTGCTCATCCAAAATAAAGTGCCCTTCAGCTTCAGAAATTCCCCGGACATTATTTATGGGAGGGAGATTGCAGATAAATGCAGATGACCAGCTAAACTGCATCCCAAAAGGATGTTATCATTAGACCTAATTTATGGCAAACTGTACTTAGGAATACAGTGCTTAATAGCCACAGCACTTGCATTGTAATCCTGGCTGTTTGGCAGGAGGTGCTGACCAGCTGGCCTGTATGGCATCACTGTGTGTTATGTTTTCAGCAGCATTCTTTAACATATATAATTTAGGATTAAATAATAGTGAGGATGAAGGATTAGTGTCAGGGCTATCCTTGCAGCTAGAGACTATGGGAGTACACTCAAGGAACTGTTTTGTGCTGCTTACCCAGCCTCTGGGTGTTAAAAGGCTGCTTGAGTATGGCTGTTGTGCTGCACAGACAGGTTCTCAGGGACAGCCCTGCTTTGTGCCAGACCTCAGTGTGGCATATTTTAATCCTTGTTAGTCACAAAGTGAATTTTAGGGAAGGTTTGCCCAGCAGTTTTCCATCCTCTGTGCAAGACAGATACACAGAAGTACCCAAAAGTCACTCCAAAAGCTATTCCCACATTACAGGACCTGGCCTCACCCACCCAGGGTATGAATTACAGTTATTTCTTTCATCTTGCCATTTTGATTTCTGGATTCAGCTAAATCACGTTTTAGGGGGCGAGATGTTGCTGTCTGTTTGGACAGATCACTCTGTGCCTGACGTAGGTGAATTCACAGTCTGCCCATCTGTTCTCAGCCTGCCCCGACGGCTCCTATGGACCAAAGTGCCACTTGCTGTGCAGCTGTGGCAGCAGTGCCCAGTGTCACCACGTCACTGGAGAGTGCTCGTGTCCCCCGGGCTGGACTGGCCCCGGCTGCAAACACCGTAAGTCAGGGCACACGGTGCCTCTCAGGGACTCAACTGCACATGGAAGAACCAGCTCCGTTTGTTCTTAGTCTGTTACAGTTTTTTAATATAGTTTTGTTAATCTTATTGCTTCTGAAATTGTGTGTTTATGGGTTTGCACAGCCTGGGTGGTTATAATCCTTAATTATCCAGGTTCAAAGCGTTGAAATAGATGGCTGATGAAGCGCAAAGTATTGATATAAGCTCTTATTTCAACACTATGGATCCCTTTGCCCAATACCATCTGTCCCGTCAGCTTTTTGACTGACAGACAGTTTTGTTTTTCATTTTCAGTGCAGATTAGTTTTGAGATTAATTCTCCGTTTTTCATTTTGTTTGGGGGAGATTTATTCAACAAGTGAGTGGCATGTAGAGTCATGTGTCTAAAGGTCACTTTTTAACTTGGGAATATAAATGCTGTGAGAAATTCTGTTCTCTGGAAGAGCAGAGCATCCTTCTGTTGACTTTAGCATCACTCTCCATATTGGTGGCTGTGTAAGAGAGTAGATTTGCCCTTTTTGGATGGCACCATATAAATGTGAAGCCATCCTGCTTGATTCCATCCTTTTCCTGTGACACATCTATTCTGCTTGATTCCTTGTGATGCCTCTTGCAAAAAACCAACAGAATACAAACCTCCCTCTAAACGTGGTCTTAAAGACATAAAATCATTTAAATTGATTGCCAGTGTTGACAGCAGTAAGTTTTGGACCTGACTTCTCAGTCTCTGTGATGAAGAAAACTCTGGGAAAATCTGAAGTTTCCACCAATATGGGTATTTTAAAAATCAAACCAGCTGGCAGCGTGTAGAGCCACTGAGATGGCTTTTCAAGACTCCCAAGGCTGTCTAAAGAACTGAGAGACCATGGCAGAGAAAAGCTTTTATTTCTATTCGGTATAAGATCTGAGAAAAGTTGTTTTGCAGAGATGTCTCGGCAAGGCACCTCTTCCAGCAGTTGCAGACTGGACATGAGACAGATTCCCAGCTCCAAAACCTCCAAACCCAGGTTTTTGTTGCCCTAATTGACACTTTCATCTTTATGCTCACACGAAAGAGAGGAGATGCCGCGGTGCATTGTCATGATTGTGTCAGATGTGATTTTTATAATGAAAGTAATAAGTTGCTTTAACAAACATTGTGAGATGTCTCTATATCCGTGTTGCATTTCCCAGTATTTTGATGAAATCATGGAGAGTGCTCCCAAATCTGTCTGGTTTTACCCATTAACTATTCTGGTTAGACAGGTTTTTGTTTAGTGAGTCAACAGCTGATATTTTATTTCCATGAAATTACATGTTTGTGGCTGTGGATTGATTGGTATGGATTGACTACCAATGGTTAGTTTTATGTGTATGGGATAATATCTGCCTTCTTTCAGCTGAAATAGTTCAGCAAAAGATGTCTTTATTTCCACTGCTTCGTGCCCACGCTGCAGCGGAGAGTTTACTCCAGGGCTGCTGTACCATTTCGCGTGTTTTCTGTTCTCTCGTTTAGAAGCAAAATAATCCACGAGGTGGGTTTGAAGGTGGTTCCCCCTGCAAATCCCACTTTCCCTTGCAGCCTGCAGCAGCGGCCGCTGGGGCCCGCGCTGTGAGAACTCCTGTGTCTGCAGCAACAGCGACGGCACCTGCGACCCCATCACCGGCTCCTGCCTCTGCGAGCCGGGATTCACCGGGACGCACTGCGAGCACAGTAAGTGCCTGCTCTGTCAACACACGGAATTCACAAACCTGAGCGGCGGAAACCGTGTTTTCCTGCTAATTCCCTGCAGGAAGGACCCCCCGGCTGTGCCGCCCCCGGTCTGCCCGGCGCGTCGCAGCGCTCTCGGGTTTCATCGGGGTCAGATCCTTTCCCTAATCTGAATTCCAGAAAAGATATTTTCAGGCTTGTTCTGGGCTCTGCAGTAATTTTTAACGTCAAGACCTCGTGTGAGGGATAGGACAGATGTATGTTTGGTTTGTGGCATAAGGGTTTCCGTATTGGTTTTATTTATTCAGTTTTAGGGCTGCACTATTCCTCCATAAATCACTTTTTAAGGTCAGGCATATAGAAATGCTTCACATGTATAGAACATAAGAAAAATCAGGAAGTTTTAGGGTCCTGTGGTTATTAACAACAAAAATCCACGTTGGTCTTACCAGAGGCCCATAACCTTCACCTTCACCTCTGGCAGAGGTCAATATCAGAGGCCTTAAGTGTATAAAAACAAACTTATAGATAATTCCTGATATGTCTTCCCAGGTTTCTTCACTTTGTCATTCAGGAGCTTCTTGAGACAGAAACAATATCTCTATATTTAACACAACTTGATTTTTTTTTTCTTTTCCAATTAATGTGCCTATTTTCTTTTTCATTCCGTGCAAGCATTTGGAGTCCACTTCATCTTGTGGCAGTAAGTTGCATGGTTGAGCTGCTCTTATTATTATTGATTATATTGATGTTGTTAAATAAAATAAACATTTTATCTATTAGTTTAACAATCTTACAGTAGCACAGATGTAGCTACCAGAGTCTCAGTAGCGTAGGCAGGATTAACTGCTGGTGTCACACGGAAATGTCAAAACAATTAATCTGGAAATGTGACCTAAGACAAAAAGCCTGGAAAGTTGATCTTGCAGCCCTTGTTGCTGTTGGCACAGAGGGAGTGGAAGGGCAATGTGTTGGGAAGACCAGCTCCCAGAGAAAGAGCTGCCAGCTCCACTTCTCTTTCGCTCTTGATCTCTCTCAAAATAGCAGCTTTGCAGACAGAAAGTAGCCAAATAGCTGGGTCTGATCTTGCCTGGCAAGCGAATCAGTGAAGCCATTACCACTGATGAAACATCTGGCAGTCCTTAAAGTTCTGTCCATGGGGTTTTTTTTGGTTTATTAAGTCTGCTTTTTACCCCACTTTGTGTGTGTGTGTATATATATATATATATAAAATCATCATCATGGCTAGGCTTCATGAATATATGAAATGCATATATATATTTATAGATCTCTGTGTGTGTGTGTGCAAGGTTCTGAAAGCCATAATTCTTCCCTAAACATTTTATGCTTCCTTGAAGGTTAGATCTTTATCCCTGGAGAGCTCCTCTGCTCCCAAGGCACCCCCAGCCTCTCCTTGCAGGTTGGGCTCCTTCCCTTGAGGAGCAGGCTCTCTGGAGGGGTGCCTGGATCTCAACATGCATCACAGCAGCCTGTGCCTGCTCAGGCAGGGGCAGATTCTCTGTGATGTGGACTGTGAAATCGTTTGTGAAGTGTACTGACCCCTTGCCATCACCTTGAAAGCCTCAGCTCCAGGCTAAGCACTGTGGGTTTGAAGGAAGCTCTGCTGAGAGCCCCACACCTGTGGCTGCTCTGCAGTGTGATTTCCCTGGCATAAATTCCCTGAACTCTGACTGAAATTTCAAGTGAAAACGCTGAGAAGGATCCAGCTTTTAAGGCACAAGTGCACTTCAGTGTATTCACTTGTTGAACTAGCACGGGAGGCAGGATGCACAGGGATCTGCAGCTTTGGGAGCAGGAGGGGATGCAAATGGGGGGACTGAATTTCACCTGTAAGTGCAAACAATGTGTTCAAACATATTCATACTTAAACGATGGCCCATTTTTTGACTATTTTAAAGCAAAGAAATACTTAAGGTAGCTTGCTATTCTCCTGCCTCCCACCCCAACTCCTCTGTAAGAGACACAGGGGTTGGCTCCAATTAGGAGAAAGTCACTAAGCTGCAGGAGCACCCGAATTCATGCCAGCTCCCATCACTGCCCACCTATGGCACCAGATAGGTAACACCAAACCCACCCCTTTATTCTAGGCATAGAATTGTCTTTGAGGACCCTCGTTGCTTTCTGTTCTCTGTGATTCTTTCCAGATTGCCTGAAAATCTGGATGCAAACACTAAAATCATATGCTTCTAGAAGAGATCTGGCAATAATCTACATAAGTCATTTAGAGGAATGGTCTTCAAAAATGAGTGGAGGCACTGTAATATTGTGTTTAGCCAAGTGTATCTCTGTGTTTCAGCCTGTCCAAAATATCTAATGTGAATTAGGCAACTGGCCCTGTTCTTAATTGATTTTCCTATAATCCTGGAAGAAATTATTTTCTTTCTCAAATGTTTTCTTTCTTCCAGTAGTGAGTACCATGCAAATCTTTTGTAACTCCTTACATTAACTGCTGTGGAAATGTAATTGTTAATCTGTCCCCCAGATGTAATGTTTTCATTTGAATTTTTCAAGCAGAGCATGAAAGTAAAATGTGCAGCACTCAGTTTGGAGCTTTCCGAAGGAAATCACCACATTTCATATTTTCTCCAGCTTTCTGGGGAAAGAGGATTTGCAGGAAAACAGAGGAGCTTCTCCCCTCCCAGTTGATGAAGTCCCAGAGGAGATGTGCACATAAGCAACTCCAGACCAGTGGGCAAAGTGTCATCAGGCAGAACTCGTGAAGTCTCAGGCTTTACAACTAGAAGATGTCAGTTTTCTTCACAGAATTTAGTCTTTCAACACTGTGGTATTTTCCTAAAATAGATCTTAAAACCAGTCCAACTTACCTAGACCCCAAGGAGAACACTTAATCTCCTCAGTTTTAAGCCCTTACCATTATGCCTTGATTCTTCTTTTGGAAATAGTAAGATTTCCCATGTATCTCAAAACTCCCTGTTGATCCCTGATCTGCTCCAGCACTAACCCTTCATGTGGCTGTGATTCCTGTGCTGCAGGGTGCCCCGAGGGAAGCTTTGGCCCAGGCTGTGAGCACAGCTGTCAGTGCCAGAATGGAGCTGCCTGCGACCACGTCAGCGGAGCCTGCACCTGCACAGCGGGCTGGACAGGAACCTTCTGTGAAAGAGGTACTGTTGTTCCCTCTGGTCCCTTTTGGGTTTATGCAGAGGGTTTTGGTTGTTTTTTGGGGGTTTTTTTGTTGTTTGTTGTTTTGTTTTTTTAATTCAGAGAGCTGATTTTAAAATTTACAGTGTCCGATTTAAATAAAACATTGAACTTACTTGGAAACCAACACCGAAATGTGAGCTTCCATCCTAACTCAGCAAAGCTTCTTGCTGGGTGCCTGGTGTTGGGCATGTATTTTCACGTGGTTAAAATTAGATATATGCTTAAGGGCCTGGCTGTATCACATCTTTAAGGAGACTGTTCTTAAGCAGAGTCCTACTATTTGAGCTCTGAGCAGGAAGATGCTTGTTCAGCCTTATACTTGCTTGTTTCTCGTGCCTCCCTGAAATGATTAAGATGCACATGGATATGTGGATCATCCCAATGGAAATCTTTAACCACAGATATACTTTTAAACTTTACAAATCCAACAGATCACCTCCTATCACCTAGTCCTTTGGTTAAAGTGCTGGACTGGATTCTTTAAATACATTATTAAGTCAGTCCTTGGCGTCACCAAAGGAGGTTGCTGTTGAGCTGCATCATTGTGCAGATCATAAAAAATGCAACAGAAACAGTATATAGTCAGTCAGGCACTCTGAAACTTATTTCAGTGTAAAGGATTGAAGATTGCACGAATTATGATCCTTAAACCACAGTTGTTTTGCTTAGAAAGCAGCTTTATCAGCCAGTTTACAAGGGCAGCATTAGAGCCACAGTAGAGGAAAGTGGCAGCACTTGCAGGCAGCTGCTGCCCTCTCATGGGAAGGAAGATGCTCCACAGCCTGACCAGGAATACAGCAAAGCACCCACTGGCTTGTGTTCACACACTGCTTGTTGTTTCCTTCTCATTCTTACCAGGGATTATTATACAAAATAAATATTTTTTCCAAGGCTCTGCTGCAAATAGAGCTTTGTAATTTATGGTATCTCCATTATGTCCCCTTTTTATTATGATTTAGTTGAACTCTGTTTTCCTAAATCTGTTTTTTTTTAATTATTATTTTTTATTGGAAAAACAAAGCATTTGTCTGTGTTGTTGTGTAAATCTGCTCATTCCAGCAGGAATCATAATGGGGACAAAGAAACTAAATATCCTTTGCCAAAGTAGGTGTGAGGAATATGACATCTATAGGGAAAAAAAAATACAGCTCTCACCTTCCAAATCAGTCATGTTGGACATTTTTATCTTTTTGAATTCCTGAAAGAAGATTGTGGAGGGGAGAATAGAATTTAGTACTTAACGTTCCTAAAACACTGTTTTCTATGTGTTTTCTCTCAAGCAGGCAGGGTGCTTGGTCTGGGCTGACCTGAGTTACCTTTTAACATAAAACATTTCAGCCAGAACAGTTTGGCTGCTTCCGAAAGACGAGGGAGGAAAACGTGTGGGTGGTTTGCCCTTGGTAGAACCTTCTTGGCACCTTTTCTGTGAGGAGCTGCAGCGCTTCTGTTTCTGGTGACTGGGAGACTGGCAGGGTTTCCTTCTGGCAGGGATGTGCTTTTTGCCGTCCTCTTGGCAATCCACCCACGCTGGCCAGGCTCTGTGCCTCCCAGGCACAAATTTAGGGATTGACACCCAGCACTGCGGTGTTGCCTCAGACTTCTCACATCCTGCTGATGCCTCATCCCATGGCTGGGAAGGACTTTTCCGTCATCACAGAGATGTTGAGACTGAGACTTTTGCAGCCTTCAAAGTTCAAAGCCCTAGGAGAGGGCAGTCCCTTACAAAATCTAATATTGACTAATATTAATAATTAATATCACCCCTGCACAGTGAGGGTGTTTGAACCTGCAATCGTTGCTTCTGGTGTTTTGCATTGTGGCAGCGTGGGATCAAGATTCAGGGTGAAATTGCAGAAGTCCCAAAATTTGCCTTTGGGTTTTCTGGAATTGGTTTTCATTTCTTCAGGTGGGAGCAAAGTACTCCTGTTCCTTTTCATTAATTTATGACCTTCAGTATGAAGTAGGACTTCATAGGTTAACCTGCCAGTCCCTGTTGGAAAACACCACTTCAGTGGCCATTTCCAAGTTTTTTATTTGCCACAAATTTCCATAATCTCTTCTTATTATTTATTAGAATAATTAATGTAATTTTAGTCCTTCCTAAGTCTCAGCCTACATATATCACCTGTCAGTAATACAGATAGCAGCCAAATACCCACCATCATCATCATCATCATCATTTGCCAGCACAAGACAGTTTCCAAGCTCACTCATAGCCTTTGCTCCAGGCTGCTGTTTCATGAGACCTTGCTGTGAATTATTTGGGAGGTGACTGAACTTCTGTGCCCTTGGCCACAGAAAGCTACCAAAAGACCTCACACTCTTCAAAGTACTTTTGTCTGTCCCCCATCATCTCAGCTCAGCTCTGCCCTGAGTCACCTTTGATCAGCTGCCCTTCATCTGGTGTTGTTCAGTGGTACTGCTGCCCCTGCAGTAGTGCTGTGGTCACATATAATAATGATGGGTAAGAATAAAGCTATTGAGACACTTCCTGAAAGAAAATTAGACATTTCTGAAAGTGGGACGTGCCTGCTCCATCTTTCACCCCTACTCAATCCTTTGTGAAAATGAACCTCGTGAATCTTTTCAAATCTATTTCAAAGGAGTTGCAAAATGGGCAGAACTGTTTCAGCTGCAAAATAGGTAACGTTTGCAAATAAGGCTGAAAACAAAATAATCTACAAAGAAATGTTTTCAGTCTGTAGGAGCAATCTAGGAAAGGCTTCCTTTGAATTTTCTTGAAAGCAGTAAGTGATACAAAAAGAACGCCGATGAAATAATATATGTTTCTTCACAAGGTCTTGCATTACCAAAGGAAAGTGAATAATTTTTGGTAGATGCTACTAGCAATGCCACTAGATACCTTCCTTATCTGGGTGGAGAATGTTACTTGCTTGGGGATGAGGTACCAGAGGCACACATGGAGTTCTGGCTGGTCTTGAACAAGTAGCAATTAATGCCAGTTCCTGGACTGTGCAAAGGTGAGGATCATGGCAAAGATGGCTTTGTAAATTCCTTTCTCTCTCCCGTTCAATCACAGGTAACCTAAGTAGCATCTTCTCCAGAAAAGATGCTTCTGCTGAGGGGCTTTGGTTTTAATGCACTTACAGCTGAAAAGGAAAAGGGGAAAAAAAAATCAAAAAATCCCAACTCCAAACCCAATCTTTATTGTGATAATTAGATAAATATATCAATTCTTGCTTCAACTGAATGTAAACATCCGACATGGAGGAAGCCTGAGCCTGGGCTCCTGATGTCAGGCAGCCCAGCAAACCCAGAGGAATCCAGGTGTGCCTGCCTTCACCAGCCACACTCCCAGCTCTGTCAGAAATGTGCCGAGCGAGCAGTCACCCTGCCCTGAACAGGGGCTGCTCCTGTTTGGGGAGGCAATTGTTATAATTGTTTTAATTCTGTGAAGTGCTGAGCATCTGCTGCTCTCGCTTTGAAGGTTGGGGTTGCCTTCAGTGCACTGTAATTTTGTTTAATTCCGTTCCCTGCTGCTCCCTGGTATGTGCTGTGTGACCCAAGGCTGTGTCCAGTTATGGGATCAGGCCAACACAAGAATTATCCAGTTCGCTGGTTCATCTGACCAAATATCCCCAAATGCCAGACAATTAGTTCACTAACTGAAGGCAGCAGGAGTCTTGGGCCATTCCTGCAGAATATGTATTAATTGATGCATTAGTAACAGCAACATATTGCCCTTGTGGGGCACAGCACTTGGCATTTGCATCTTAGCTGCTGATCAGCACTGCCACGGGACGGACAGACTGGACTTCTCCCTTGAGATTACAGCTGTTAATCATTGTCATAAGATAGCCCAGCAAGATTGCTGTTTTAATAAGATAAAAAGGGAAAATAAATACTGTGCATGTCAAGGAACAGCTGACAAGGCTGTAGTCCCTCTGTTAAATAAAGAACTTTGTCGGGCTTTGAAGTCGCTGAGGGTTCAGCAGGAGAAGCCTGTCCTTGTCTGCTGAAGCAGAATAAATATGGACAGAAAGATTAAACCACACACAGGTGGCTCATCCTTACAACTTGCTAACAGCTCTCTCCCAGTGCAGTTTGAGCAGAGGCTGATGGATGCATTATGGTGTTACATTGGTATGAAGCTCTTTCCTGTTTTACTGAGGCAGCACAAACTTGGGAAGGGCAGGAAACCTGAAATCTTTCTGGACAGGACAAAGGGAAGAGCAGCCTTTTGATTTTGAGTAGATGAAACAGTGGTTTGTAGTCACAAGCTGAGCAGAAGCTCTGAGAGTAGAGGAGCCAAAGCAGATGCTCAGTGTGTTACACTGCTGCTGTCACTGGATGAAGGTCAGGTTTGCCTCTGGCTATGGATGTGGAATTCCCCCAACTAGTAGCCAAAGCAGACAGCTCACTGCTGGAGAACAGAATCTGCATCCATGGAAGAGGCAGGATAAGCAGACTGAGACAAAAAACCTGGGCATGGAGAAGACACAGGGCAAGAAAAATGACAGAAGAGTCCAACAGTGAAAGATGCACACGGATAACTCCCTGGAAGTGTTCAAGGCTGGGTTGGACGGGGCTTTGAGCAACCTGGTGTAATGGAATGTGGCCCTGCCCATGGCAGGGGGGTTGGAATGAGATGATCTTTAAGGTCCTTTCCAACCTAAATCATTCTATGATGATACCAGTGTTATTCTGATCTGGTTGAGGGCTGTGAAATTAGTGTGGAGGGTTGTTGGGTAGTGTATGTGATAATAATTGTCATAAGGCTCTATTGGAAGACAGTTGTTCTGATTTCATGATAGAAGTGTGAGGATTTGGTTTTAAATATAAGTTTATATTGACAAGGAGGACAAAGAGATAAGTTTTATTGAATAACTTATCTCATGAGCAGCATAATTCCTGAGACTGATTCAGGGGTTCTGGGGAACGAGTGACACGTAATTGTGTATCTACAGACTTATTATCATTTAGTGAGACATAATTATACAGATACTTAAATAAGCTAGACACACACATATATATATGCAGAGATGTTAAATAAGGCTATTTTATTTTTTTAAAACTGTACATAGCAGCCTTAGCACTCTTGTAGTGAAACATTTAGCTATGATGTGGCCCACTGACAAGTACCAATGCTTATTTTCACTGCTTTCAGGACTGGTAAAGATATAAATTGATCCCATTGTGCTGCTCTTCCTTACATCTCCCAGATGTAGGTATGGAACTCCTTTGGCTCCCTGGAGTTGTTTTGCTACATTTAATTCATCTTGGTTTCTCTGTTCATTCGCTTTGCCAGTTTTTCATGTCAGCACTGAACTGCACCACTGTGGTTTATGTTCGCTGTAAAAAATCTTTAGAAAAGTGTCAGGACAGTAAATGGGAGCAGAAGTTTTGCATTTCCAAAGGGAGGGAGATCAGCAGGGATGGCCCTGGAGTCTCACGTTATGTTGAAATATTTCTTTTTTCCTCTGTTCGTTACAGAAGCACAAGTACCAGCTTGTGTGAACCCAGCTCCATTCTCTGACTTGCTTTATGGCTTTTCAATACTCTAAGCCATGTTTTACTGTGCAGAAATCCATTGCTTATGTAAAAGGGTCACATGTTTCCAAGATGCTTTTAGCAGAATTGTGCAGGCTTAGCCCCTTGAAGCAACTTTGGTTGTTAAGCATCTGTGAAAAGATGAACTGGAGTTTATACAGAAAAACCAAACAGGAACTGTGCTAAAAATTAATGTTTTGCATTTGCAGCTTGTCCAGAAGGATTCTTTGGGCTTGACTGCCACCAGGTGTGCAAGTGCAAGAATGCTGCTGGCTGTGACCACGTCCTGGGCACGTGCCGCTGCCTCCCGGGCTGGCTGGGAGAGACCTGCGAGCAGCGTGAGTACATCCCTGCTCCCAAACTCCCCCAGCACTGGCGTGGGTTTGCCCTGGGAATGCAGGATGACCTGCCGGGGTACAGTTTTAGCTGGATCACATTCCTTTCCAAAGATGCCAAAAAAGGGAACAGTTTTTGGTAGCTGCGGAAATCGTCAACATCATTTTTTTTTTGGCCGCTGTTGGCACTCGTCAAACATGATAAGCATCAGGTTTTAAATAGCAGAGCTGTCTCCTGCCATATGACAACTCCCAGCTTTTTCTTTTTGTGTGGCATTAAGAGATGAAATGTTGTGTATCTGTTTCTGGTGTGTCTCATCTAATTATCAATTATAAAGTGACAGATTACAAATGCGCAAAGTGGAAAAATCAGAGCTGGGACTGTTTTGTTATTTGAGTGTGACAAAATAGGTTTTTAACTAATTATTAGAAAAGTTATTTCTTTTAAAACAAATGTCAACTTCATAGATGTTCACAAACATGGATTATCCCACGCTCTTTAAGCTAAAAAGGTGTTTGTGTGTATGTATAACATTGTCTCTTCTGAGAAACTTTTCACTACATTTCATGGGAAATTATATTTTTTTCTTTAGCTACATGACATTACACATGGAAACACTGAGTCTCTTTGCAAAGTTTAGCAAATATGTGGGCTTTTTTAAGATTTTCAGGTTTTAGCCTCTCAACTTCCTTGTTTCACTTTAGGATGATGTCATGGTCTAAACTTCCTTTTGAAAATACAACTGCTGTCTGCAGGACCATGGTGTAGAGCTGGGCTCCAGAGCAGTTCCACAAGGAGCCAACTCTGATTGTTTGTGAACACTTCTGTGAACACTTCTTTAAACCATGGGTAGTAGTTTTCTGCAATAGAGAATTGGTTTAATTTACAAAAAAGAGAGAAATGTTGCTTGTATTGAAGCAATTCTATTCTCCAGCCATATGCCATCTTATCATCAGCCATGTTTGAGGGCAGCACTTGCTCTTCATAATATTTTTCCCTTATTTGCCCCCACCATGCAACACAACCCATCTTCTGCAGAATCCCCTGCTCTTGTGATTTACAGGTGGGTCAGTGCTGCTGAATCTTCCCAGATTTTAGACATTTCTGCCAGCATCTCACCATTGCAGTCCTTTGTGCTTCTCTGTGCTCCCCATAGGAACACTTGGCCCTCCATCATCCACCACCTGAAGATGCTGGTGGTAACACACCCTGTGTCTGTAGATTAATGGATTGACCACAATATAAGTGCAGAGCCAGAGTCATTTAGCCATCCCACAGAGCAGAAAAGGTGCTGCTAAACAGGTGTGATGTTTGCTCCTTGGTCACAGCCTGGTTTTACTGCTGAGCCACGGGGTTGCAATGTGTCACCTCGCCCCTTCCCTGCTCCTTACCCTGCATTAAGGACAGGAAGCTTTGTTATGTATTTCATTAAAGTCAATTAAGAAATGCAGCTCTTTGTCCATGGCCTCCTGTGCCCCCTCCCCTACTCACATTAGGAAAAAAACCCTGTTTATTGCCTTGTGCCTGAGCCACGAGAGCTTTATGTTGGTTGATTTATTCCTCAGGCTGGTGAAGATGCCAAAGCCTCCAAGGTCCCTGTAAGTAAGAGTGAGGTCAGTGAACAGTGCAGAGTGTAACCTCCTTTTCTCTTGGCTAAGTGAGGAATCTTCATTTCGGTTTTATGACTGCACCTCATTCACGCTGCTCCAGAGCTGCTCAGAGTGAGGCAGCCAGGGGTGGGGGAGAGCTCACCACTCCCCATCCGCACCGGGTGTTTAATATTCACCTTGCTGGTTCCTGGGACCAGCTCGAGCAGCTGGAAGGACAGCACTCGTGTGGAAGTAATCAGATTGCAGGCAATGTGCTGGAGGATATTGAGGAATAATTTTGACATCATGGGATTTGAATTGATCTTAAGCCAGCCATGCAGTGCATTTTATGCTCTGCTATCTAATTATGGGCAATAGAGACAGTGATGCCTTTTGTTGAAGCTGCCTAATGCTTTCCATTACCAGACTGTGGTTTTCAGTTTGTTTGAAAATGAATTATGTTAAACTGGGAAGAAATCTGCCAAGCAAGCTCTGCCTTAGCTTCAGTCTGTGTTTGGAGATTTTATTTTTGATTTTTTTTTTTTTGAGTGTGCACCTAAGATATTTTAGGGTTCCAAGAAAGAGATTTAGGAAAAGTCTGTTGCCTATTCTTTTTTGGGTTTTAATAAACTGCTTCATTGAGTGTCCAGATGCTTCAGTGATACAGAAGTGGGGATCTGACATTTGGCATTTCTTTAGGACAGAGTGTAACCTTCCTTTCTGTATACTCCATCCCTGGAAGTGTTCAAGGTCAGATTGGATGGGGCCCTGAGCAACCTGATTTAGTGAGTAGCATCACTATTCATGGCAGGGGAGTTGGAACTAGATGATCTTTATGGTTACTTCCACCCCAAACCATTCAATGATTCTATACAAACTCATTCATAGTTTGCAGTCTTTAAAAAATCAACCCAAACCTACAGGAATCTCATGTTGAATATGGTCTGTAGAAGCTAAACACAATTAAAAATCTGAATTTTACCCTAATTCTATCAGTACTAAAAATGCCTCTTTTTGAAGCTGTTTGGGCTCAGCAGGAACTTCACTTTTTACCACTTGTGGTAAAAAGAGAAACCACATTAGTTTGAAAAATAAACAAGTACAGAAAGATTGGTTCTGCCAGAGGCATTGATAATAGAGGTTTGACATTTCGTGGCATGTGAACACTTGACTTTGCAAATTCCCTATTCTTTTAAATCCAGTATTTCAGTTTGTGGAGAATGATCCACAGGAGCTGCATGAAAACAAAGCTTCTGGACACCCTGTAGAACATTAGTGCCCATCATTTCCCTGTGCTCCTGGGCACTTTGGGTGGCTTTTGACTTTCAGTCTGGAAGAAATTCTCCAGGTTCATATATTCCTTACTCTGCATGCAAAAATGGGATTTTAAAGACTGCAAACAAGTAAATCCTTCTCTTATGGGGGAAAGGCACTGAGAGGAAAATTTTGAAAGAGAGAGAAATCTAATTATTTAAACCTTTGGATTGAGTCTTCCCTTTTCACTCACCATGAAGAACAAAGATAAGGCCCAGGAATTTTGTACATTCAGTTGTGGAACTTCATAAAATAGCTTCAGTATATAATTTATTTTCTTAATCTTCAGAAAAGTACTTTGATAATCAGGATTGTCCCACCAAGAAGCAAAAAGCATTTGTATTCACCCAATAGAATAATAAAAATTTTCTTCTCCAGAAATTTTTGCTTTCTTACCAGAATTTTCACTGGAACACTCTTTTATCTTCTCAATAAGTGTAACAAGAGCTTTGCACACATACTCCAAAAACCTCACACAAACCACTGGTAACCAGTCAGGGGACCTGGTGATGAGCTGGTTTTTCCTTTGGCTTGGTTATGCTATAGTTCTGGTCTGTATTGTGGAAATATTTAGTTCTGCTCCAAAAATCGAGCCAGAGCTTTGTAGGATGGGCTGAACTTTTCACTTGGCAACCAAGCTTCATTTGCAGAGCAAACTTTTAGCTGTGATGGGACTGAGCTCCTTCTCTTTCTTGTGGTTTCAACGTGAATGAGGTCCAAGTGATGACAAAAACGAACACTGCTGAAAAGAAGTCCTGGGAGAAATGGTGTCTGAGAAACAGGCTGGGAAGCTGGAAGTCTTCAGATGGGAAGAAAAGGGCTGAGAATGTATCAGACACTGTCAACCAAGTTCACCTCTGAGACCAAGATGGTTTCACACCTCCCTTCTGTCCCCAGGGACATGTCCTCCTGCAACACTGCATCTCATTCACTGACCCCCTCAAAGGTATTGAGGTTTGGGTGGAAAGTCACTGTTTGGGTCTGAGCCTGGGAGATGTCACATCCAGCAAGCGCAGGACACTCTTCTGGATTAGGGATCTGGGGTTTTTTTGCTTCTCCAGTGCACGCCAGAAGTGCTGCAGGGATGAGAGACTCTGGCAGCTTTGTCCAAGTGCAGGAGAGCCCCTGCAAGACGGGACAAAAACCGTCCAAGGAGGTGATCCAGCTGCATCAACTCACTCTGTATATTTTTGGGGAGATATCTGAAGAAAACAGGGTAGCAGTACTGTCTGCTTTCCACCATTTAAAGCCATCCAAATCTCCAATGCAGTGGGGACTGCGGGAATTTTATCACTGCCATTTTTCACAGGCAGCAGCACTGAAAGCAGAGCTGAGGCGAGCGTACGCTTGCGAGATGGCTGCGTTAAGTTTTCACCTGGGAGCCAGCTGCTTAACCAAACTCATTGAAAATATCACCCCTCTCTGACCAAAGAATGAGAGTCGGGGCGAGCGAAGGCATCCAGCTGTGAAAAATGAACACTGAAAACAATGAAGTTGTCAGTTCTCTTACCAGGATGCAAATAAATACCCGGGCTGTCGGGCTGGTGGTTCTGCTGGACCATTAGTTTAGCACAAAGACATTCTGCAGGGCCGGGGCTGACAGCTGATCCATCACCCCAGCGGTCCAGCCCTTCCATAAAAACCTCTTCAGAATGTGCTAGGATACATATTTTTAAGCCACATTATTGTGCTAGGCTCTCATAAGATACATTACCTCTAAATTGTAAGTGTTGCAGAGCAATTTCATTTTATGTGATCCTAATTTGCAGAATTGTTTTAAAATACCCTTTGCAGTTATATTGGCTGATGCTGTGGTGGACTTGGCAGTACTGAGTTAATGGTTAGACTTAATGATCTTAAAGGTCTTTTCAAACCTAAACAGTTCTATTATTCTATCTAGTGTCAGGTTAATAAATGGTTTTATATATATGTATATATATATTTCCGGGAATGGTGGAGTCACCATCATTTAAGTGTTCAAAAAAATGAGTAGATGTGGCATTCTTCAATTTGGTTTAATGAGCATAGTGGTATTAGGCCAAAGGCTGGACTTGATCTTGGAAGTCTTTTCCATCCTTAATGATTTTATGGTCTTAGGCACCCTTGTGATGTGAAAAGTGTGTCATCAGAAGACAATTCCAACCTGATTTCCCTGGTGCTGGGTCGTGTCTCAGGTTTGCTCTGTGCAGTGCCTCCTTTGATGCTTCCTGATGGAGTTTTATGCAATTCTCTCATTACAGCCTGCCAGGGGAATAGCTACGGGCCGGGCTGCAGCAACACTTGTCACTGTCACAACGGAGCGCTCTGTCATCACGTCACTGGGACGTGCCTTTGTAGCCCGGGCTGGAAAGGAACCACCTGCCAAGAAGGTACAGTTGGAAATTCAACCCCCTGAAGAAGGATTATAGGAGGGGAAAAAAAATAAAACATCTGCTTGGGGGAAGTTCATTGGTATTTTAGCTATCAGCTCATTGCCTTGTGTTGTCACTGGTTCTGTATCCGCAATGACGTGATCGGTCCATTAAATAAATCCACGGCACCATTGTAGGGTGTAGGAGCTCAGTGTGCACGGGGCAGAGGGGGCTGAAACAGCCATAAACGGGAAAGAGAGCTGATTTTGAGGGCTGATGAAGGGAGAAAAGGTCCATAAAACTCCGAATTATGACACTGAAGTGAAGCTCTGTTTCTTTTCTATGGCCTGATTTACCATCCCATGCACCTGACTGATCCTCATCGTTACCGTGTGCTGTTCCAGACATGGGCTAAATCCAGGACATGTGAAAGGCATTGAACCTGGGCAATTAGACCCATACGTGTGACTCAAACACAAGCCCAACTCCACGGAGCCTTAAGAAAAGAGGCTGGCAAAGAAAGGCTGCACTGCAGCTTGTGTGACCTAATCCTGTGCACCTCACCCGCTGGAAAGTCTGTCCATCCCCGTTGCAGAAGGCTCCTTGTTCTGTGCCTTCCCTGTTCTGCCAGCAGTGCCATGGAGCTGGGAATGCTGCTGTGGATGCTCCTGGGTGAGCTGGGCTTTGGTGTCAGCACCTTCACTCAGTGGCCTTCAGCATACCAAGAGGACTGTTAGGGAAAGGGGATGAAAGCTGGCAGGGGTAGAATAATATATAAATTAAGTGTATCCCCCTTTAAAACCTGATCTGAAGAGATCTTTCCACGAAGTATCAAAAAATTGTGAAGGTACCAAACAGCTCTTGATGACGTATATGACATGACCTAAATTTTTCTGGTTTGTCTGAGAGCCTCAAATACGAAACCAAAGCAAAAGTTAAAAAAGCTGTTGTCAAATATGAAGACATTGTCAAATTACCCTTTTCCTTTAAAGATATGTTTGGGGATTTCTTTTCTCTTCGGAAGAAAGGAGGTAGAAAAATTGTGTGAGGCTGGGGGAGCCATCCTGCTGTGACTGTGCTTTTGCAGAGTGAGAACTCACTCCTGTTGCCATCCTAAAGAGGTGTCACTCTGGCATATGACAGAGGTTTGGGGTTTTTTGTGCCAAAAAGTTAGAGTCTGTCCATCTGGTTCTGATGCGAATTAATAAAAACTTGCTAAATTAAAACCAGGTAAACTGTGAAATTTCATCAGCCAGCTGTGGGCGGCAGGATTAATTAGAGAAGGAGCCGTGATTTTAAGAGAAGTGTACAAAGAGATTCTGAAAAGAGGGGAATCAATAACTCCCCTCCTTGGTGTTGAGAAAGCTGGCAGGAACCAAGGGGTATTTTTTGTTGGTGCAAACAGGAAATCTCAAGGTCATTTGGTGGGTCACAGCTAATTCACTTCATCCACTATTTTGTCCCCAGACCAGTTTTACGCTGAGTAATTCCTTATCAATCATGTCCCCATTTCTACTTGGTTGTACCTCCCACAGCATCTTCCAGGGCGAGGAGTGTGAACTGGGAAAGGGTGATGTTTAACCTGCATTTTTTTCCTGCACTCCCTAATGGAATGTTTTGTGCTGCCTCCCCTTCCCAGGCTGCCCTCCTGGATGGTATGGTGCAAACTGCCTCCAACGCTGTGTCTGCCATGGCCAGGCCACGTGTGACAGTGTGACAGGAGAGTGCCAGTGTCCCCAGGGCTGGACAGGGACAGCATGTGAGCTGGGTGAGTCTCATAACATCCTTCATCCCTCCAGCACCTCAGTTGCTCTGCTAGGAAGTTCAGTTGTGGTGGGGTCTGGTTTGAGACAACACCGGAAAAAAGAGAAGGCAGAGGGATGGAGAGCACTAGGTGTGGAGAGGCTGAAAAAATTGGGGTTGTTTAGTCAGAGATGAGGGAGATATTGGCACTTGAATGTAGGATGGTGCTGGAAACTTCTTTAATAGATGAGAAAAATAAGCTATTCCCTGTCCCCTGGGGACAGGGAAAATAGGTAATGACCTTCATTTGAGGAGAAAAAAGTAGTAAATCCTCCAAGAGAAAAAAAGTATTTATTTCTAAGGAATTTTGTTAAGGGAGGCTTCAAAATCTCTCTCACTGAAGGTTTTTAAGACCAGTTTAGGTGGCTCACTGTCTTGCAGAGGCATAAGTATGTTCCTCCTGGAGCTCCTCCAGCCAGGCCCTCTGTCAGTCTCTCCCATCTTGTTTCAGAGTGTGGGGATGGGCAGCATGGAGAGGGCTGTGAGCAGAACTGCAGCTGCCACCACGGGGTGTGTGACCAGCCCTCGGGGAAATGCGTCTGTCGTGCCGGCTGGACTGGGGACCACTGTGATGTTGGTAAGGGCAGCTCCTTCTGCAGATGCTTGATTTTAACAACCAACCATTTCTGCCTCCACAGTATGAAGTCCTTTTCTCTTTTGTGTCTTAGTTTTCCAATATTCTGTAGGCCAGTCAGGGTTCATGCCTGCTCACCCCATGTCTCAGCCCCACAGGCTCTGGGGCTGTGATAACCATGCCCTCTCTGCCCAACCATGCCCTTGTCCAAATCATTTTATCTCCTCTTACCTCTGTTCTCTGCCTGCTAAGAAAATGAAGGTATTTATCTGCCTTAGGGGTACAAGGAAGAGCATACAAAAGGGAGGGAGTTTTAAGGACAATTTGCCAGATCAGCCACCTGCTGCTGAGTCTCTGTGGGTCACTGAGGGGAGCTCAGCAAAATAAACTGTGATGGTTCAGATTTACAGATCTTGCATTTGACAGAGATCCAGATCCAGATTTGACAAAGCTGTTTGGCATGTTTAGAACCATCTGAATCCCTGAAATAGGGATGAAATCTCATGTCTGGTAGATACCAGGTGACTTGAAATGTGCTTTCAGCTTGGCCACTGAGGTGTTGTGATTTTGCAAGACATGAGCAATTTTCTGATATCTCCTCAGGTGCTGAGGGCTCTCAAAGCCTCAGCCAACAGCATGGCCTGTAAAGCCTTTGTAGTTGCCCCCCTTTCCTTTCTTCAGGCCTCACCTTCTTTTTGATTCTTTGCACTGAGAGGTGGAAGCAGTTTGTGGACAGGGCATGTTTTCTCTGTTCAAACAGCTGTTTCTTCGTGCACGGTTGGGTCAAATCAAATGGCATCACCATCTCTATATCTGGACTAACACTCCAGACTACGACTAAGTCTTCGTAAGCTTTCCTGTGCGGACTCATTAACAACCAGCACTAAATGCTTTTGATATTTTTAGTATCTTCTCTTTCACTGATTTTTCTGGCCATGCACTCTGCCAAATATGCATCCCACAGTCAAGGATGATATTGGCTGGTTGCCAGCAGTGGATGCTGTCCATGCAGCAGGTAGAGCTGTTGCTCTGTCTCCTCCCCCTCAGCCTGCCCCCCGGGATATTTTGGGAAGCGGTGCGAGGAGCGGTGTGACTGCGTGCACGGCTTGTCCTGCCACCACCAAACCGGAGCGTGTCACTGCCAGAAGGGATGGCGAGGGAGGCACTGTGACAAACGTGAGTGAAGGAAGGCAGTTCAGGTTGGTGCACACGTTCCTCCCAAATCCAGGGCTGGTGGCAGGGTGTTTTCACTCCCACCTTGTGCCACAGGGTCGGTCTGGAGGCGCTCACAGGGGTGGGAGCAGCGGATCCGCTGGATCGGGGTGGCTTTGCCCCATCCTGCCCGGGCCCTGCCCCGCGCCCTGACGAGGGTTGGTGTCACCCCTGCAGCGTGTTTGCCCGGCCGGTTTGGCACGGGCTGTGCCCAGCGGTGCCGCTGTCCCCCCGGCAGCCCCTGCCACCACCTGACGGGAGCCTGCGGTTGTCCCCCGGGATTCACCGGCCACGGCTGCGAGAAAAGTAAGTTGGTTGTTATAAAAATGCAAACGCTTCCCATGTAAATTAATTAAGAAATTAATTTCTTCAGTACCAACCTGATGATATAGTGCCTGAAGAGGGAGGAGACAACAACCTGACAGCAGGGAGGATGGCCAAGGGCTGCTTGTCCCTCACCCGGCTCTGAGCTCTGTGCCAGGCGCTGTTTGGGATGGTGGGGTTTGCCCTCTCTGGGTTTGCGGCTCTCAGAGCAGCTGGGGGCTGAACTGGATCCAAATAGGCTGAGGAGGTGCCAGTGGAGCCCAACTCCTGCCTGCAACTATCGCTGTGCTGTCAGTAAAGCAGCAGATCAGGTTTCTCTTGACCTTGTCCCCATGAGAGACCATCTATTCCTGCTCTAAGAGCTCACGGGAAGGGCATTATCTGGTTTTTCTTCAGCATGGAGTTTTTCACCCAGAGCTGTCTTTGGAAGCAGGCTCCTGCTCTGACCCCAACTGCAGCACCCTGACTTTGTTCCTCCTTACAAAGCTTTGCCTGAGCCCTGCTTCAGCAAAAGGAAAACCAGAAATAAATAAGAATTGAAAGAATTGACATCGGTGTCCTGTATCCCCCACTAAAGGACTCTAAATCCTGACCCATAGCTAGGGCAACTTAATGGAAGTCAGACCTAAGATTTAGATGTGGAAGGTCCAAACCTGCAGGCAGTGTGGCTGTCAACAGGCAGAATGAGAGCTGTGGAGATGTTGATGCCACAGCAGCTTTGCAAGTTTAAACTCTCCGCAAAAGGTAGAATGTCTTTATCCACACACCTGGTCCCTTGGGAATTATACTGTTATTTTAGTCAATTTTACCTGACATTTCCCTATGATTTTTTTCTAGTGACAAGAAAATTGTATCTGGCCCTTGACAGTTGGGCACAAATTGACTGAACAAAACAAAATCAAGCAGTCAAGTAACCCCCAAGTAAATGTAATAAATCCAAAGTCCCGGAGGAGAGCGTTGTTCCATAGGCAGGGATTTTATTTAATAAATTTGAGCTCGCTCTTTGTTTGAGTGCTATATTTACCAAGACAAATTTAATTTATTGGTTTACATTTCTTCTTCCCAAAGCTTGTCCACCGGGCACGTATGGGAGGAACTGTAACGGAGTGTGCCAGTGCTCTGCCAAGAACCAGGAATGTCACCCTGTGACTGGAGAGTGCTCCTGCATCCCGGGGTACCACGGTGCCCAGTGCCACCTCCGTGAGTACCTGCCTTTTGGAGAGAGGACTGAGTCATGCAGGACAATGTGCTGGTGCTTTTGAGTTCATCTGTGTCAGTACCCTCAGTGTTGACTGAGAGAAATAGAGGTTTTTATATAGATATCTATATATAAAAATTTTAGTGTAAGAAGTTATAGTATAAGAAGTAAGCATATTAATTTACAGTAATAAAAATACCCGTATTATTGAAAGGGGTTAATTTAAAAATATGTATTTTAAAATTTTTAATTCGAAAATGTAATTATTTCAACATTTAAATTAATGTTTAAAACCCCCAGATTTATTAGGTAAATTCTTTCCAGTTTCATGCCACGCTAAAGGATATAAATACATCTTCTGCATTTACACCTCCCATCTTCAGCTACACCTGGATATTGAGTAGCTCTTTCATTTCCAAATACCAAGTCCAAAATACTTCCCGAAATCTCTGCGTGCTCAAGTAAGGACAAATGGTTATGAGAAAACAACAAGCTGCAATTGGCAATAAATCTGAGTGATTCATAAAGTCCCTTCAATTGTTGGGCCTTCTGAGGAACAATCAAATTAAACCAACTGTTACTCTGGATTGAAAAATGGTGACTAGTGTAGAGGACAAAATGCCAACTGGCCCAGTGCTCCATCATAAAAAATATTCCCAGATCCACACGCCTCATGCCGGTATTTTAGGACATCTGTAAAGTTGTTTCTGCTGGAATGTGGCGGCTGATAAGAAACACATACCAAAGTAGCCAATAAAGGAGACAGTTAATTACCTTTTTATTTACAACTTTAATTTTGGTTTTACTCCATGGCTTGTAATAGTCTCATTTTGAAGGGGGAAAAAAAATAAAGGGGAAAAAAAAGCTGTTGTCTTTCGAGCTCAGCCTTCCTCTTTTTGGTGAACGCTGATTTTCCTTTCTTAGGAATTCAGTGTGGCCCTGGTTTAATTGCTTTTTTGGGTGACAGTTTGTATACAAAAGCCAGCTGTAACATGTGCAGCTCTAGTAAGGGTTAAACCTGTTCTTTATTCCTTGAGTAGAAGCAGGAAAGAGACTCATTTTAGATGTTGGCTTTTGTGGTACCATCATGTCATCACAAGCTATTCTTTAAAATATAAATTATAAATAAAATAGAAAAGATTGAATCAATCTTCCTTTGTACATCAGTTTTTGCTGTAAGTGAGATCGAAGTCTGGCCTTCAACATTGAGGCTGGAGCCATCTGGATCCATTATACATTAGATTATAATAAATGTTAGAGCAGTAGTGGAGATCAACTATTTAACGGTATCATTTTAAAAGACTTAATCATGGTCTGCCTATTACTTTTATGTAGCAATCCCTCAGGACTCATTACCTGTTTGTGTAGCACTAAATCTAAATTATAAATTATGGTAAATGTCTTCAAACTTGCTTTAGTCCTTAAGATTTTATTTCAGAATTTTAAAATTGAAAACATTAACAATGACACGGAAGTTCTGATATAAAATACATAAAAAGATTAATTACAAAATGAAATCTGTGTTTTGCTGCATTCAGAGGGAATTTAGCCATGGATTTCTATGTAGCTGGGATTAAAACTATAGAGCATGAGACAAGAGACTTCATGGTGTTGTGCTCTCTGAGATTCCAAAACTGCACAGTGTCTTGCACAGAAAATTCTCACTTAAATACAGACTTGTTAAACGTTTACTGGAGAAATAATGAAATGGTGGAGGTTCATGAAGAGAGAACCTCCTATTCTCCCCTGTACAACTCTGAGCATTGCATAGACAGACACAAAAATAGAAGGAAAACATTTAATTGTGAGTTATTTTTAGATTGTGATCAGTGAAGGGAGAGATTGTGGGCCTGATTCTAAAGTGACTGACTGAAAACCAAGGATAGCTAGCGTGACTTTGGTGGGAATACTCCATGTTCCTGCTGTCCTCACTGCAGGGAGAACTGGGGCTGCTCCAGGATGAAGAAGCTTTCAATAGAATATTAAAACCAGCACAGGGAGCCGCTCCCAAACACGTGAAATGGGCTTCAGTCCAGTCAACATGTGGTTGGATGCTGCTGGAAACAGTTTCTGGCAACTATTGCTATATTTATAGTACTGTGAAAAAAGGTTGAAGAAAGTATCTATAAAAGGTGTAGTTGGCTGGGAAGTCAAATTTCCAGGAGCCAAGAGCAACGAGGCTTTCATGTTCTCAAATTCTGGAGTGAAGAGCTGAAACAGTCTCTTGGCAGGATCCAGAGGAAGCAGACAAATTAGCAATAAGGTTCCCATCACTTGTCCATAACTTGGTAAATGGGAAGATCTGCTTGGGTGAAGTGAATAAAAAGCAGTAAGTGGTGACATTGACTGGGCTGGGGACACCCAGAGCCAGAAAGACCTCACCAGCTTCACCTCTAGGCTGCAGGTAACAGGATGTGTCAGAAGGGATTATTTGACAATGCAGTTAATAACATTGGTCAGAAAAGTCTCAGAGTGTGTCACTGGTATGAAAAGATTTAGGAGCTCTTGGTCATGGCAAACCAACTCAAACCAGAAGGAAAAAAAATGGGAAATGAGGTGGAAATCTGGCTGCCACTCTTTTATTAGCAAAAGAACATAAGTCAGAAGCACAGGAAACCATTGAATTTGAAAATGTCTCTATGAGATAAAGACATAAAGACATATGGCAGTGAGAGGATAACCCTCTTTAGAAGAGCAAAGCCTACTGAAATGGTAGAACACAGTGTAAAATTGCCCCCACTGTTTGCAAATTGCCCCCACTGAAAGTCTTCTGCAAAGTAGTAACAGATGAGGTGGCCTTGTTAATAAATATGTGCACGTTGCAGTGGCTGAGCTTGACCTGCTTGTGCTGCTCCTTCTTGAACTGAAATACAGATGGTGCTGCAAGAGTAAATAAATTGGTAAGGGGATGTGGGGGAGTGTTGAATTACTGCATCCCTTTCAGTGATGGAGCATCTATCACTGGCCTTGAGCTGAGGAACAGCTCTGAAAGCTTTGCCAAGGAGAAGCAATGTGTTTGGGAGTGTGGGAAACAGAATTAAAGAAAAAGAGGAAAGCCAAATGATACCAAAAAGAAAGGGAAGAGGGAAAGAGAAACTCATGTGGAATCCAATTAAATCATAGAATCTGGGTGTGTCCTTAACTTCATGTTTTGGTGGGAATGAATTAGATGCTGCAGGGCTCACTCCTTGATGTCAGGGTTTGCACATGAATTTGTGTGCTGACAGACAGAAACACTGATGACAAAGTATTCATTGAGAAGAGTTCATGGTTGAGAAGGGCTGGGGAGAGTATCTGCATGTTATAAAAGTGTGTATCTGTTTAGTCCTGATGATCTGCTATGCTGGTTTGAGCAGAAGCCAATGTTCAGTTTTATTGTAAGAGGCACCCCTTCAAAGCTTCCCCATAAGCTCTCCCTTGCTATTGAATAGTTCAGAAAATCCAGAGATTTCTCCAGCCGCTCAGGCCATGTTTTCATGCCTTCAGGAAAGAGAAAATACATGAAGTTATTTATGCACAGATTGCAAGGGATCTGTTGCTTGGATACGTGTGCGAATATATATTCAACCAGATTTCCAAAGTAGCCGTAGACTTTCCTTTTACCAGGGAAGAGAAGGAAGGAGCAAGCAAAGAAATGCCATTTAGGTGTAGCAGCACTAGTGGAACTGTTTGATGATGATCATGCTGCTCTTAAAGTACCAGGTACTTTCTCTTCCAGTACACTGGAAAATTAGGAGAATAACTTGCATTGCTGGAGTTCACTGGTGGCACACTGGAGGTTCAGTGGTGACAGACAGAGGCACGTACCCAGCAGCTCTGCCCAGCTCTTTCCCTCAGTTCCAACCTTCATTGCTCTAAAGAGCATCTTGAAGACATAAGCTAAGCATGGCAGATGCATTCAGATCTCCCTGATCTTTTATTCATTTCTCCTTCCACGTTAGCTGTCCAGAAAGAAACCAGAAATAGTCACTAGCACCTGGAAAACCTCTTCATGGACAGCTTGTTGCCATGTAACGCTGTCTCAACAATCCATCCAGGTCTAATGATCCCCCTGGTTTTTAGGAAATACAGCTGCTTTGGTTTTTTCCTCAGGGAATTTTCTAACTTTGCATTTAAACCATCTTTTTCCTGTGTCTATCTCCTGAGAAGGTCTCTTCTGAAATTCCATGTTACTGTCATGTGCAGGTTTTCATAGTCTTCCATCCATAGGGTTGGAAGGGACAATGCCCCACCTTAGGTAGGGACACCTTCCACTAGAACAGGTTGCTCAGAGCCCCATCCAACCTGTCCTTGAACACTGCCTGGGACAGAGAATCCACAGTTTCTCTGGGCAACCACTTACAATGCCAGCTCCATTTTGCAGGGAATCAGTAGATAATAGAGAAAACAAACTTCCCCCAACTTTTACATTTTTGAAAGACATGACCTGCCCCAGTATCCATAAAATGGCTGCTAAAAGACACGGAGATGGCTCACCGCTTCTTGCCATCTCTGGCAAACCAGGCTGCTGCTGCCCAAAGGAAGGGGGAGCAGGGCCCCATCTTTCCTTCTCTGTAGGAGGGAAAGAGGGAACAGGTTTATTTGGAACATAAATCCCAGAGGAAAACCTCTCTAGAACTGGACTTGCTTGTCTTTCTACAGTCACATATGGGGAATGGAAGGAGCACAGAGCCAGGAGCAGTCAGACCAGGCTCAGCAGCAGCACTTGGTCCAGCTTTCCAGGGGTTTGACATTCTAAGTCAGTGCTGCCCCAAGGACCATGCTACCCCAGGCAGCCATCTGCTCACCAAGGCCTGCTCCTGGCCCTCTAGAAGTGACTAGACTTAGAAAATAAAAATCTAATTTCAGTTGTAAGCAAAAAAAGTGTTTATGGCGTGAAAAGCAGCAGGCCCAGTAGCAACGTAGCCTAATTGATGATTGTTTTTTTTTTTTTTGTTTTCAAACAGGGTGTCCAAAAGGTACTTATGGTTCAAACTGCCAAAATCCCTGTAAATGCATGAACGGAGGCCACTGCGACCCCGCGTCGGGAGCGTGTGATTGCGCGCCCGGGTTCATTGGAGCCGACTGCAGTAAAAGTAAGCCAACATTCGTGTTCTGCCTCTATCAAAACACAGCACAGAGAATAATTTGCATAAGAGCTTGTCAGTAGAAAAACAGACAGATCCCAGCTACCTCTTCCTTGAATTGTAAATCAGGATTCCAGCTTTGTAAAAAAATCTCTTGCAAAATATTTTCCCTCTCTTCCGCACGCGTAGGAGCAAGGACACTCATCCCAGGATTACAACCTGCTTGCCCAAATGTATTTCTAGAGCCAGCTCAGCATGAGTTGCTCAAGTTCCTTCTTCCTGTCCAAAATTTCGAGGTTGAGAAATTATCTCAATATTTTGCTTCACACTATGGTGCCATTAGTTTCAATAAATGGGAAAAAGATCAAGTTTTGTCGTGGCAAAACTGGTAAAGACTCCATGGCAACTTTAGTGTTACTTCTGTGTTTCAGAGCTAAATGACGTGGCTGAATTTCTGTCCTGTTTCCAAAACTCTGATCTCTGTGAAGTTCTCTTCAACTTATTCACAGAAAAGCAATGTTTGAACGTTTAGGAGCCTATAGCTTTGTTCTCTGGTATAGGACAGCATCAATATTAAAGATGGAAAGATGTTTTTAGCTGGAAGGATGAGCAAGTGATATTTCAGTTGTACACTCACACTTTAGTAGGAAATCTTTTAAATACTCCATGTGAAACCACAGATTATATTTATAACTTCAGGTAAAGTCTCAGAGGATGAAGCAGTCATGTCTTTGGATGGGTTTTCGTTTCATAGCTGTTGCTTTGAAGCACATTAGGTGGAATAAAAATGAAGCCAACTCTACCTATAAGATCCTACCTATGTTAAAGATGAAAACTGGCATCAGGATGTTTAACAAAAGCCTGTGTTTCCTTCAGCTTGCCCTGAAAACCGATATGGGAAGGACTGCACCCAGTTCTGTGCCTGTGGTAAAGGTCAGTGTGACCCACGGACTGGCAAGTGCTCCTGTCCCCCTGGCCAAATGGGACCTGGCTGTCAGCAAGGTAACAAAGCGGGACCCGAGGTCACCTCGTCAGTGGTGACACACTTAAAACACCCAGCAAACAAAAGCCAGCACCAAACATTGTTTGTAGCTGCATTCCCAGTGCCTTTGCTCGATAACGTCAGTGTCGCAGTCCGGTGTACTCAGCTCTGTCCCTCTCTGCTCCATCACCCTTCCTTATCCTGCCACATCTCCCCGCTTCGCTCTGCCACCCTCAGTACCAGGGCACTGGGATCTCCACGGGGCTGAGGAGATATGGCAAGGCAAAGTGTTTGGATGAAACTGATAACAGTCATGGAGTGGTGTCTGGCCACGCTCGGGAGACACCAGTAACTTGGGATACTCTGTGGGGAGCATGTGTTTGTATTTATTCCCTATCACCTTCATTCTTTTTTTTTTTTTTTTTTGAATGCTAATTTATTTTTCTTTACAAACTTTGTTAATTCTCTGTAGTGTGTCCCCAGGGACGGTATGGCCCCAGCTGCCACCTGACATGTACCTGTCAGAACGGTGGCATCTGTGACCACGTGGATGGCAACTGCACCTGCGGGCTGGGCTGGACAGGAAGATCCTGTGAGAAAGGTGATTTTCTGCTTTGATGCCAGTGGACTTGTACATTCAAGAAGAGGTTTGAAGTGTCCCCAGGCAGCCACAAAAGGGGACAGACAGTTTTTGCTTAAGTAGGCTACATCACTGCTGCATTCCCCTCTGTAGCTTCTCTTACACGAAACTTCCCCTAGTTAGAGCTTCAAGTCATTTCTCAGAGACAGTAACCTTGTGAGTTCTACTTGTAACTCTCATAAATTCCTTTGTAGAGACTCCTTCTGCTGTCCTACTTTGGAATTGTTTTGCTCATGGGAATGTTGTTTTGTGCCTTCTTCCATGTGCTGCTCCTCAGTCAGCAGAAGCCTGTCTTCCTCCTCTCTTGTTATGTTCTTCTTTTCCATTTGACACTGGACTGCAGTTGAACATCTCATGTATTTTCACAGATGTTCTGACAACTTCTGTCCAAAGCAGTTGAGATTGCCCTGCTATCTCTCACCCTTGCTTCTCCGTGACAGCTCTCCCTTACACAAGGCAAAGCACACTAACAGAATAAGCTCAGTTTTCACTCCAGAAACCCTCCTGCCAGTCCAGAGTCTTCCCACATCTGTCCTTCTGTCTGTCTCTCAAAAATAATTCTGCTTTTCTACCTTCCCATGTTTCTCTGTAGATGAAATACCTGCATATTTGCAGACTTAAATGTTCAGGAAACCACGAGTTCTGAGTTCACATTCAAGACAAATGTCATCCCTAGAACATAACTGCCATGGTTCAAGCTCCACGTGTTCTTAGGAACTTACTTACAGCCTTTCTGCCCCTGACACCTGTAGAATGTCCACCTCAAACTCCATAAGTATCTTTACCACGCACTGGTCTTTACAGGGCAGTGTCCCTATATCAAAGTATTATATAGAAATGACACTTTTTAGCAGCATTCTGAGATAGAATTGTTTCACTTTGCACTTGAGAAGACCCAGAAGCCCAATTCATGCATGTGTGTGTGCAGAGAAGAAGCAGGAAGAAAAGGAAAGATGCTACATGGAGGTACTCACAGTGTGAGTACTGTGAGCATTCAGTGCACAGTGAATGATCACCGTGGACAGGCACTAAAAAATTTGCAATTAACCAATAGCTGGCTGACCTGGCATTTCACAGACCAATTGTGTTCATCTCTGTCTGTTCCTCTAAATCCCTGTAGTCACCCATAGGCTGCATTGGGGTTGCCAAGGCTCAGCAGGGTGATGCAGGTGTCACCACATGGAGTCGTGGCTCGTGGGTGTATCTTACAGATGAAACATCTCTGGAGTGGAGCATGGGGGGCAGACTTGCACACCTTGTGTAAGGGACTGTGTGTTGTGTCACTAGAAAGAGCATCACTGTTTATCTTTTGACAGAGAGTGAAATTATTGGAAAATCGAGTCTTGATCTCCACAGCAGTGTGGGTTTGAGTGTGTTTTGACTGGAAATCAAAGACAGCTAATCAGGCATCCTTTTAATAGTGATTAGATACAATGTTTTTGAAAGATCTTGTCTGGCATTTGCAGAGTTCTGAATCTGATTACTTGGACAGCCACGCTCGTTTAAGTTCGTCTGCCCAGATTCAAATTATCACAGCAGTGGGAAGTTAACTTATTCAGAGATGATGCTGGGGTTAATTATATTGGCACAGTCCCCTTTGCATGGCTTGGCTTCCAGTAATTTGAGATGTGTTTGGTACTGTGAAAGCAGATATCTCATTATACATGTAAAGGCTGTTGCTATGTGTGAAAAAGATTCTCCTGGTTTTATTAGGAATTGGAATAGCGTGAACTCCAATGATAACACAGAGGAGGAAAAGCTTCATGTTTTCTTTCGCACTTTCCAAGTGCCTAAAAGAAAATATTGCTGTAGATAAAGAAAAAAAAAGAAGATAACATTTATGCCATTCACTACACGGCTTTACAGCCCATGGTATGGGTTCAACATCAAGTATGTGAAGAGACAAATTAAAAAAGGCAGACTATTAAAAGTACGAGGAAATTATTGTTCAAACATTTATATGATATAAACAATTTTTCATCAAAGTATGAAAATGCATAACAGTTGGGCAGAAGCTCTGTGTCTTCATAACACATATTCTTGGGGTCTGCAAGTTATCCTCTGGGCATCGTTTCTCAGCAATACAAGCTATCCCATATGAGTATTTTTGAGGTGAGGTCAATGATTTTTTTGTTTGTTTGTTTGTCCGTTTTTCTGTCCATGCCCTGCCAGCAGAATGTCTCCCAGGGAAGTATGGGTCTGGCTGCACCTTGGACTGCTCGTGCCAGCACAATGGCACCTGTGACAGGTTCACAGGGTGCTGCCAGTGCCCCCAGGGCTACTACGGGCACTCCTGCGAGCACAGTAAGTGGGGCCCCCGGCGTAATTGTGGTGGGAGGTGGGGCTTCAGAGTAATCAAGAAACACCCTGCTGGTTCAGTTAAAATTTTTGGGGTGTCCCAGATCAGCTGGCTGCCTCCAGATCTTGCGTGTCTCTGATGCTGGGTGGCACAAGTTTGAAAGCACGTGGCATTATTAGAGTTAAGGGTAACTTTTGATGGCTCCCGGGGAACGTAGCTGAGAATACAAAGGATTTTAACGGGGTGTATGATTTTCTTCATGGACCTTCCTCACTTTAATTTTTCAGGGTGCCCCCTTGGATTTTATGGGCTGGGCTGTCTTCACCCCTGTGCCTGTAAAAATGGAGCGAGCTGTGATGCAGTGACAGGACAGTGCATTTGTCCTTTGGGGTATCACGGTGTCCACTGTGAAAAAGGTACTGGTACCCCTCTGATGTGAGAGAAAAAAGCAAACAAAAAAACAGAGCCAAAACAGACCTCAAAAAGCCTCATGTAATTACTCAAATATTTGTTTGTTAAGAACAACTTCTTCCATATTTTCTTTGTGAATATACTGAAACACTGAAATTGGGACAGATTTCCTGTTATACAGCTGGGTGTTCTTGTTCCCTTGGAAATTAACTAATCTGGTTCCGATTAATACAGTGAAAGTCCTGGTCTCCATGATGTCTTGGAGCAATGAGTTCCACATGTCATTTATTAAAAGTAAGTCCCTTTTACTGATTCTAAATTTGCTTCTAAAGCTCCAAATAAGATTATTAAATAGGTGCATGTCAGACCTGTTGAGTGTTATGGAATAGTCTTCTAGAGAGTTCTAATTAAAAATGAAAATAAGTGCCAGTTACATTTCTGAGACAGATTTACAGATACCTTTGATAGGTTAGATTAGACAAACCCGACATAAGGGGAGCTCATACAAATATTATGCCTATTCCACTACATTCAGTTCTTCATTAAAGCTGGCATTTACACTGGCTTCAGCAGAGAGTTTATGAGCTTTCCTCTGAGACATCCTGGGAAAACTCCTCTGGCTTTAATGTACATCTTGCCATTCAAATGTGCATGTAAAAAGTTCTCTTGGTATCAGCCTGTGACAGGGGTTGGTTTGGTGAGAGGTGCCAGCGTCGGTGTGACTGCGGAGATGCTCCTTGTGATCCAGAGACTGGGAAGTGCCTTTGCCCACCTGGGAAGACTGGAGACAAATGTGACCTTGGTAAGGATAATGTTTTTGAGGGCTGGACTGTGAATAGTTAAACCACTATGACCTGTTGGTTTAAGAACTGTAGAAGGACTTTTGCCGGTGTTCAAGATCACATTGTTTGTAGCAAATTGTTCTTATGGGTTATCAACACCTTTATCAGCAGGGCTGTACCTCGTGATTTAATCAATATTTAAATTGATACACTGATAGGAAAACTTTTTGCGGGTCAGCTGTAAAATGTCATTTGCGTGGAAAACATGGACATTTGTTCTGGAAAACATGGACTGGGGAAGAATAGACCGAAAAGTGTTGCAAAGGTAGTGGGGAGGACTCCAGAGGATGCAGATAGACACCAAGAGCCTCAATTTCTGTGTGTTTTTTCATACCGAAATTTGTGACCCTTTTCAGACCAATGAAAAGGTATGTCCAACTCAGGATTTGCTTTCCCTGGAAGTAGGGGAGAATCCCTATGGATGAGGGTAGTGGTGCTGCAGCAGCTGTGCCTTGTTCAAGGCTAGTTTGGATGGGGCTTGGAGCAACCTGGTTTAGTGGAAGGTGTCCCTGCCCATGGCAAGGGGCTGGGACTGGAACCAGATGAGCTTTAAGATCCTTTCCAACCTAAACCTTTTGGTGATTCTATGATTATGATAGAGTAAATTTAGGATAATACAGGAGTAAAAGGAATTGCAGTGGTTTAATTGAGTGTAAGAGATTTGTGATCCAGATGCTGTGGCAAACAAGATTAAAGGAGTGAACATCCATGTGCTACTATGGAGCTTCACACCAGGAACCATAACCCTCTAGAGCCCCTGAAACACTGGGGGAATATTATTTCTTCTTTTGTCCTAGGATAGGGCAGGAAACAGCTTTGAACAGGCAATTAATAACAAAAAGTAATTGCTGGAAGCTTAAGCACTAATGCAACCTGCAAAAATAAAGTGGAAAATTATTTGATTCCATCTGGACACTGTCCTGTGGTCAGAGAAAGAAGCCACCCAGTCTGCAGTGCTGCTCCAATGGGGAATATCAGCCACCCTTGTGGCCACACAGCACTGGGCATCCACAGGCCTTTCCAAGGAAATTTTAGGCAGAAGTGGAACGCAAGGGGGAAGCTCAGCACCAAAAATGGGAACTGAGGTTTTGCTTCTTGCAAACTCTGCGAGTCACTTTTATTTTTCTCCAATCAGCTAGGGTAGCCCCCATCCATGAAAAGCTGTTATGGGGTAGGTTTTATTTGCATTTTTATTTTCAATTAGGCTCAGTTCATCTGTGATATAACTGTGAGCAGCTGTGACTGTGCAGCAGCCATAAAGATAAAAGGCCTGATTTTAATTTGAACTCTGGTAAAGCACCCATTAAACAGGCAAAATGTTAATTAAAAAAAAAAAAAAGAGAGAGAGAGAATATAACAGACTTTTATGGGCGTTCTTTTTTTGTAGTAAATTAACATTGCAGACTTTCAAACAGATGTCTTAAATACACATTGTTATTAACATGAAAATGTGGTATTACATAAATTAAAATCAGGTCCAGAGGTGTTTGAGGAGACCTTTTCTCATAACATTTCCTAATTGAAAAGGCCAAGCTCGGAGCACATGGGGCAAGTTCTCCCACGTGCTGAGGCTGCAGCTGATGGGGGTCTCAGCAGAGCTTTATTTACCCCAGGGTGCTCATGGGAGAAAGCAAATGCCCTGGGTACTCACAGGGTTTTCCAGCGAGGTGAGAGAGAGAGGGCTATTGTTTGCAGAATGCTTCACACCCTGCCCTGTGACCTGCTGCTCACTTTCCCTTCACACCTGTACCTCTGATGCATAAAAAATTGCAGTGAGGATTTACCAGGTATGGTGTGAAACATATTTGTATTTGGAAGTGTGGGTTTTTTGTGAGTTTAATTTGCCAGGAGGCAGCAGAATTGTGCAATTTGGAGCAAGACAGAAGAGTGTATATAAAATGGATTAATTTTCAATTACACATTCTGTGAGTGGAGGCTCTTGGCCGGCACCCACCGACAGCCAAGCCGGGCAGGAAGGAGAAGGGCAGGAGATAGTGTGGATCCAGGATGCTGACAGTAACTTTCCTGAGCAGATCCCAAGATGTTTTCTCTTGGGCTGTCAACCCCTGTTTTTACACCAGTAATGATTTCCATTCTGGGAACTTCTTCGGGACAGCTGGGCTGCAGTTTGGGCAGACCATGTGGCAGACGAAACTTGAAGGCTGCAGTGCTTTCCAAAATGTCATGTTTTAATGTTAACAGATGTAGGTGTCTCAGCAGCTTCCTGATCCCAGAGAACAGGGAGACTGCTAGGAAGTGTTCCACATCTTCCAAAGACTTCTGTCCTTCCAGAATGCAGGTCAGACCGGTATGGCCCCAACTGCTCCCTGCGGTGCCAATGTGCCAGCAAATCCCAGTGCAATCCATACAACGGGAACTGCGCCTGCCCAGCCACGTGGATGGGGCCAACCTGCAGAGAAGGTAACACAGGCTGGGAGCGTGCAGCCTTTTTTAGTAGAAGAAACCATTTGTTGACCGTGGTGGTGGTCAGTGTTTGGACAAGAGGATCAATTATTTAGATATCTCCTCTTAATGAGGTGTAGTACTGAGTGGAAGTTTCCTCTCAATTCCTCCTTTAGTTTAGGAAACACATTGGGAACCTCCCACCTGAGATGTGTTTTGCCTGCTCTCTGCCTCTGTGAGGAGGACGATGTAACTTCCCCTACCTTCTTTTCAAGGCTACCGTTTATTGAATTATTTAAGTGTAAATTGTATAATCTATATACTCTTTTGGTATTATGTTATATAGACCTGAAACCGTGTTTCTACTTAATTCTCTAGGTGGCCCTGCAAAGCTTCCTTTTTATGAAGAACAAACTCAAGAAAAAGGGAGTATTTTTCCAAGAGCTCTACAACAGTAACATTTGGACTAATAAATGAACTGTTTTATATGCACAGACGGTATTTGAATTTGGATATGAAAACAGTTATTCAATTCAGCTTGAATTGTACTGAAGTATTCACACTTCTTATGGAAGACTACAGAGGCCATTTAGTAGTTGGATCCTTTTAAAAAGCTGAATCTGTTTCATGTACTTATTTCTAGCCTCTTGCCCCTCCATTAATCTACTCTGGACATTCTTTCTGATATTAATATAATTCATCACTTGAAAGCTTGGACATGTTTTTAATCAGACCAACTCCAGAGAGAATCAGGATAAGCAGTGTGTAACACATCAATGTTCAGTGAGCCACGCCACGTATCAGGGACTTTCTAAACCCTCCTGACAACCACGCTTAATGAGTGTTTCACAGATTATGAAGCTGGTACAGATCCACTGCAAAATCACACTGCACAGAAACTAGTGGGATTCACCAAACTGATTCCTCTTTGAATAACATTGTGTGTTCTAGAGAAACATGCAGTCTAATTTTAAACTTGCAGCTGAAGAAGAGTCCACCATAGTCCCCAAGAAGTTCTTAATTAATTTAAGAACATCTACTGCTGTTCTAGTGTGGACTGACTGATTGGAAGGTTTCCATCTGTATCTTGCTTATGTCTGAATCCATCTTCCAAAGAGCATGGTGTCATCTGTCAGACTCTCCTGGCTTTCTGCGTTCTCACATCGTGTCAGATGAGTTTCAGTGGTTTGTCAAGTCAAACTGGGCAGCAGATCTCCTCAAACAGTACCTGCTAATGCAGAAGAGGTTTTATCTTGGATGGAGAAACCAGATAGTGAACAATGATAGATGTTTAAAGATAATCTCTGTGGGGTTTATGATTGTACTGCACAATTTTTTTTTAATGAACTCAGCTTAAAACAGTCCTGATACCATTTGACAGCTGCTGTTGGTCCCTTCATGGAACAAAGACATTTTGGTGCTATTTTGTCTCTTTAGACAGGTTGTTCTTTGATACAGGACTATGTTGTTATAAAGAACTTATGTTCTATATTTTAATACCCTGAGTTAACCAGACTGAAAGATTTCAGAGTGCCTCTTTATACCTCTTTAGTTTAGAAGTTACAAAACTATGCAGTAACCACTCAAGTCTAACTCTTTCAAAAGTGCACTTAGGAAAGGGCATCAGGACCATGGGCTCAGTAGACATGGAAATATGGGCAGTCCCAGGTCTTGTGTTCACACTCCATCCACCCACAATAACGAGCTGCAAGAGCAGATTTTTGTCTTAGAAGAGACAAAATTACAATAATTGATGGTAATTTGTGATTTTTTAAGACCTTTTGTTTTTGTGGTTGCGTAAGTGGTGAGTTGGTGAAGTAGGATCCAGTTGGTTGGATGAGTAGGTGAAGTAACAGTTCTTCTCAGGTCTTAAACACATCTGCAATCATTAACTGTCCAGGACAAAGCAAGTGGCACTTGCTCACCGGGCAGTTTAATTCAAACTGTGATCTCCTGGAAGCAATACTGGTTTGGAAGGTATTTTTTCAAGCTTTGTGGAAGTCTTATTGTTGTTATTCATCACTTCATAGCTATTGAAAGTAAAGATATTTGTGAATGTGTCAAAATTAATTAACCAACTGTGCTTTCAGCCAAAATATCAGTGTGATTGATGCTGATCCCTTGTCATTTCTGCTGTAGAGCTCTGTAAACGTTGATGGAAAGTTCATTCAGTGTAAATGTGACAAAATTCTTGTTCCAAAACTAGTCAGAAGCGTATGACTTTCAGTAGGGCTGTGGCATTTTAAATGTTCTTTTGGAGATGTGAAGGCCTGGGTCTGATCCTACAATTACGTGCATTTGGGGCAGTTTCACTGTACTGGAACTGATAAGGTAAATGAGACAACGAGATATAATCTAAGCAACTACTGGAGAAGAATAATTCAAGTTGAACAATTGACATATTTTGATCTTAACTATGTATTTACTGCAGAGCCAAACTACAACAGTAGTACAAATATCTCATTGTGCTCAAGATTTTGTGTAGGATCATCGAGAGAGTAAAGCTGTAGGAGACCTCTGGAAGTCCAGGGTTCCTTTCAAAGCCTGGTCGCCTTCGGAGTTAAATGGGGTTGCTCAGAGATTCACCCAGCTGAGTTCTGAATATCTCCAAGGATGGAGATCCCACCACCACTGTCCTAGTGAAGATTTCATGCTTTTTTTTTTTTTTTTATTTTTCCTGTTTTCCAAACAGAATTTCCTGAGTTTCAGGTTTGGTCCACTGCTTCTCATCCTTTCAGTGTGGATCTCCAAGAAGTGTTTGTCTTCATCTCCTCTACAGCCCCCATGGGGTAGTTGACTGAGCAGTGGTACCTTCTCTTCTGAAGGCTGAGCAGACCCTGTTCTCCTCAACCCAACTGCACAGCCCCTCTCACCTTGGTGACCCTCCACTGGCCCCATTCCAGGACATCTGATATTCCAGTTCAGGGACAGATGCCCAGAGATTGGTGTGGTTACTCAGCAGCTAATGCATAAAACCCTGACAGTGCTGTCAAACAGCAAAATATATCAAATGTACTGTTTTTCTCTTTTTTTTTTTTTTGTTTACTGATACATGATTCGAGCAGCTAATCCAAGGGGACACTTTTCTCAAGCCATATTATTTACGCCTGTGTACACTTGTTTACATTTTCCACAGTACCTTGATAATAGAATTGTAAATATGTAGTATAAGGAAATAAAAGATTTTTGTATTAAGTGTTTTTAAAGAATGTCACAATTTTAGGTACATGATGAAACACATATTTTAGGAGACAAATACTGAGCCTGTGCCAATGAATTTAGAGGACCAAGTAGATCTGCTTGGGAAATATTTCAGCAAACCTTTTTTTAAATCAAAAACTGCCAATTCATACAAAGCCATTCATATGCAATAGTCTTTTTTATTCATTCCTTCTTCAAAATACTTCTTAGCTTCTTTATGATATTGCCTTGGAGAAAGAAGTTCCCCTCAGTGCCATCAAACAGATCATTCTGATTTGGGGCTCAGTATGACTTTTTGTTCCAAAAGAAAGTACAGTCATTTAAAGGTAAAAATCAGAATTAAAGATTTCAGAAAAACTAAGATATGAATTTTGATTGGGCTAGTTTGGAATGTCTTGTCTTGGTTCTCTATTTCTGAAGTCTTCACTTTTTTCACAAGGCAGAAAAAATGTTTACAGATTTTTGTTTTCTAGAAGAGCCGCAACTTCACATTATTAACTATTAATTAAGGAAGTTTACTTATGATGTCATTATTATGTTTTGATTCTGCCCCTTACTACAGATTAACTCATTTACCTAATTCTTTACCTACAAAGTAGACTTTATTAGCCAGCATGGACTTTTTAAATGAAAAATCTACTAAATCGCCTCATCCACGGATTAATTTTATAGCAAGTGATTGTAGCTACTACTAAATTAATATAACTCCGCTTATTTGCTTCATCAGGTTCCAGCGAAAGAGTGTCAGGGTGATACTGTCCTGACCATAGCACTGGGGCTTGTGGAAAATGAAAGTGAAAACTTCAGTGAAAATGGAGTTTATAGTTAAACTGATGTCCACCTTCCAGTTTGTGAAGGCCTTTCTTGGCTCCCAGTTTCCCAGGAGGCTGAAGTTAATTACACTTTCTTGAAGAGAGTGCTCTGTGAATTCCTCTGCAACACACTTGCATGTGCAGATAACTCCTTTCAGAAAGACATTAGAATTATTTCAGCCATGCAGTTTCTGTGCCAAATCCCCCTCTCTTACCTTGTGTATTCCAGATAACTTCAGCTGGAGTGGAAATAAGTTGAGTGTAACTCAGTGGGTCCAGCAGAATCTTACTCAATGAGAATTCATGAAACCAGAACAACATGTTTCAAGTTAGACTTCACTAACACTATTCTCATAGGAAAACAATCAGAATTTTAAAAATTCCCCGCTTCCCCTGCCAAAAATTATTATTCCACTTTTATCCTTTTTATGTTGAAGAACCATAGCTATTAAAGTTTGCCCAGATTCTTTGCCAACCATATTATTTTGATTGGCTGCAGATTTCTGTTTGTGTAAGTAATAACCAGCATAGTGTCAGGAGTTGCCAACGGGACAAACATGGAAATAATACCTTTATGTCCTTCCCAGAAAAGGCAAAGACACATTTTGGAGCCCTCGTGGCTTCATACTGTAGATCAATCAGTGACTCTGTTAGAATTTAAGTTCTTATCAGAGCAAAGTAAGCTTAAGAATAATCTTTGAGAGAACTGATAGACCAAGAAATCTCCATTGTCACATCCTTGTGTTAATTTTGCTATATTTAGGCTAGAAGCCTTCTCACTCCCCAGTTCCAAAAGGACTTCTCCTGCAGGTTGACCTGTGGCTGACTGAGCAGCTCCATGCATGAGCTGCAACTGTGCCCAGTAATTCTTTTGCAGGGTAAAAGCTTTAAATTCTGACACTGTGTAAAGCAATTTCCAGCAGTAAACACCAAATCTCAGACTTGTAGAGCATAAATTGTTTGTTCTGTTCTTTTTATTGCTTTTAATAAGCACTTGCATAGCAATATATTATGTTTTTGTGAATTTGTAACCCCTCTTCAAGGAATATGTGGGATGTATCTCACATCTGTGCTGTACTTTCTGTTGTAGACATATCATGGTGAAAGGATGCTGATTTCTTTTATATAAACATGTCATTAAAACTTGTTCTTGTTTTTTCCTTATTGATAGTCTTGAAGCAGCAGGTTTATGTTGTGGATGAATCTTTATTCTGTTGAACCAATACTCTTGGGCACATGACGTGACTCTGGGTGGTCCTGTGCAGGGCCAGGAGCTGGACTCAGTGATCCTGGTGTGTCCCTTCCAGCTCAGCATATTCTGTGATTCTGTAATTCCTTTTCAGAGGAAACAGACTGAAATCACACCTGCTTTTAGTATTTTGTATAGAATAAAAAATGGCCTGTGCACAAATGGATTTATGTATGATCCCTGACCAGAAAAACCTGGCCAGTGACTGAGACTGATAAGTAGAGGTTTCTGGTACTCAGACCCCAGAGTATCAGAAATACTCAAAACACAGCATAAATCTTGCTGGAAGAGGATGGTTATGAAGTGTAACATTTCTGGAAGACTTGGGCATGAAGCACCTTGAAGGCATTTGAAACCACACACCTGTGGGCTTCCACCAGCCTGCTTGGACACTTCCCAGAGCCTGATACTGCTGAACAAATAGCCTGGTTCACCTTCAGGGTATTGTCTTCTCACATTGGCAGGAGCTAAAGGAGCACATGTGCCTGTTTAATGCCAAATAATGCGGTAAGTGTGTGCTGGTTAATTGGAAGTAGCATGCTAAATTGAATTCAAAATGTGTA